TTCATTTATGTAACTGCTTATGAACGGAAATTAAAAACATGATATTGATAAATGTATCCTTGATCTGCAAACCCCAGGGGTACGTAGACCAATGTCGGGAGTCTGTGGTTATGCTAATAAATAATGATAATTTATCAATCAATATTGATTTTAACTTAATATTATTTTATAGGTGAAAAGAGTGAACGTAAAAGTAACTGATTTATTGCGGCCAGCTGTACCTCTGTTGAAGACAAATGTTGCAGAAATAAGTGATGATCTCGCTTCTATTGGAGGCATGTCACAACAATTGAGTGATCTTGACCTGTTAACATATGCATGGGATTTCGACCTTAATGATATAGTACCAACACTATAAATGCCTATTACCAGTATTAGTATTAGTTAGCAAGTGTTCATCCCTATTATATTGTATGCAATATAGATCAGTAGCTAGTCTATAATATATGAAACTTTAAACGTTTATATAATATTTAGATCAATGTTGTACCTACACAACTACTTGAATTTACTCTTACTATATTATATCTTTTAAATTAATCTCTGCTTGGATGTTGATAAAAAAGTGTATTTAATATTGACTGTAATTCAGTTGAATATTTTATTTTGATTTATGGCTACTATTGCTATTTATAAAATATGATACTTAATGGTACATTTTTTTTTGCAAATAGGTACTTAGAATTTTTTATTGGTTTTTGATGTTCATGCTTATGCATATGATTATACTATTTGCTTATAGCAAATTAAATAACTATCTAATATTAGGTATAACATGGTACTAAATACAATGTTATTTTTATTTGGTGCTTCTAGGTTTTTTCCCCAAAAAATTGATCTCTTTTTATTTTGTTGGTTCATTAGCAATGCTTTTAAAAGTTATATTTGACAATTTTTATTTTATTTCTAAAAACATTAACTAACTCTTTGTGTTACTTAATAATAATGTTAACATTTACATTTACATAGCTTTTACAAATTAGGTATGTAACTAATGTTTTTGTTTATTGCTATCTAAATAAAGAAAATAATATGGAAGTATGCAACACATTCTCAACATTGCTCAATATTTCAAAATATTATATTTGTTTTTGTTTTGAGTATAAAAAAATTGCAATTAATTTTTGAAGCGTTGTGCATTGTATTTTATATTCCTTGATCTAAGTTCTAAATGTGGTATTAATTATATTAATGTGAAATAACGTACATTTCAGAAACAGATAATACATTTTTTAATCACATTTATTTGTTAATTTTATGTCGATGTATGTTTTAAATTTACCAAACTCCATTTTTAGTATTATTTTAAAATGTATGTCTAATTCTACTATTATTTTAATTATGATTATTATTTTATATTTGTTGTTGTTTATTATAGATGTAATTTCTACTATTATTTGTTCTCATCTAGTAAATTATTCAGTTATACTATTTGCACAAACATTTAATAAAATATTAAATAATATAAATGTATAAGAAATTAAATTTAAAAAAAATATATATATATGTACAATTTTAAAGCAATGACTTAATTATTTTTCTTTGTATCCTAACATTATAAAATCACAACCTAGTTCTATGTAGGACGTAGGACGTAGGTATACAATGAATAAATCATTTCCCTTCACATTTGACTTTGAAACCGTCAGCTGTCAATCTAACTTTGAAAATAGACCCAAAGAATTTAGATATATCTAACAATTTAATTCAGACAACAATTTTATTTTTCCTCTAAACTAATTTACCAGAAGTGTGGAAAAATCATAAAGGCAATGTTTCCAACATTTTGAAGCAAAAAAGGTATTGTTCCGGCAATCGTGAGTTAACTGTCACCTAGTATATTTTGAATGAAGTGTTAATTTTAATTGAAAACCAACTTCTGAAAACATATGGAAAAAGCTGTCTGATTTCAATATAAAATCTCCATCAAGAACCGATGAGAATCATAGTCGTTTTCTTAGGGATGAATTATATTACAGAAAATCCTTTAATTATGACGCACTTTCAAGTTGTATTTAGTTGCATATTATAATACTGAGTACTCCTTTAGTATGTGAGTTACCAAGACAATTAAAAATTATATTTTGTAATACTAAACGAATGCCCAATACGCGGTCCGCAGGTCACATACTAATCCAATAGGTACCATTAAATAGACTAATAAACTAATACTATTTTACAAAGTAAACACAAAGTATCACCTACTGTACTAGACAATTTTTTTTTCGATGTACTTAGTGGAACTGGAAAAACATTTATGTTAATAATATCTCACTTCCAAACCTACGAGTCCAGGGGATAATTTCATTGACAGTCGCTTCTTCTAAGATTGCAGCAACATATTGTTACAAAATGGTAAAACACACATTTTGGGTAAGCTACTAAAAACCAAAACACTTCCACAGAAAATATTTCTGGTATTTTTTCCCAATTCATTTCGAATCTTAATACCATGCTAAATACAACCATGCTATATTAGCCATGCTTTATACATTACCAGCCCACTTACCATCACACACCTTTCCTCTATTTTAAATTCACTCACGGCCATCGCCAAAAATACTATCTAACTTTTTACATTTGAGCAAGGCCTAGCAAGGTGTTCTTTTTTACTTGGTCTTTTTTTCCTAGATTCGTTCAGAGTAATATCGTTTCAATGCTTGTAGCTGTTAGCTGTGCATCATTTAACCTCGGCGACAGCGATTTTATGTGAGCAGATGACCGACGTCCGACAGTGACCACTAAAATATTTCACTTTGCATTGTAACCTTTGCATGGTACGTATTATTTCAACATATTAACTTCTTTAATTAACATTTTCTTACTCTAAGATATTTATTTTAGTTCAATAAGTATATACCTAACTAATATATTATAACTTTAGAATTTAGATTCTTAATTTTTAAAAATACATTATATTTTAAATTGTTTTCAATAATTATAAACCTAGGTTGTATACAATAAATAAATGAAAATAATTTAACTAATAAAATATTTAAAAAAAAATATAGTAAAATTACTAACATTTTTCCAACTTCCAATGAATGTTTTTTTAATTTTATATAGGACAAAGAGAAAAATATAGCCTTTGGTAGTAGTGGTAAGCCGTGAGCGGCAATAATCCAAGCCAGTAGATTTTTTTTTATCAAAACACTAAAGAATGAAATTACGGAGCAGGAAATTCAATCTATTAAGACTTAGGCTATAGGTGGATATTTGGGGGGGGCTTAGCCCCCTCCACGGAAGGAAAAATTAAAACTATTCGAAGGATTATTGAGTTATAGCCCCCTATACAAATTCAACCAAATGTCCACCGATGACTAAGACTAATGCAAGTGAATCATCAGTGATATCTACATTATGCTTATGACATAAGCCGCTATTTATCGATAAAAATTATAAGTTGAACGATTTCACTAAATACCAATTATTATAAATCCCGTGGTTTCCAACCAATTCTTATAATTTTCCTTTCTCATTAAATTCGAAAGGTGGAAGAGAGGTTAAGCGTTTTGTTGGACTCCACCATGGCACCATCTTACAGCCCATCATAGGCGTGTCCACGGGTCTTGCCTGTCATGCACAGGCATGACCTGCAAAATTTGATCTAAATTAAAAAAATTAATTTAAAATCTTTAAATTCGGAGGTCATATCCCAATACCCTAACAGAATTTTTTATTGGCGGGGGGGGGGGGGTAGTTTTTCTCTCCCCTGGATATTCCACGGTTGTGCATGAACTGCGAATGAGATCTGGACACGCCTATGCAGCCCATCACTTGCTTGTCAATTGTCCTCTCAGATATTTACCTTGGTCTTTATCGTACGTATTTTGTACTCTTTGATGGCGAATATAGATATCACTGGAGTAGTATTAAACTATATATAATATAGGAATGTAGCCATGTAGGTAAAAACACCTCTTACGTCGTTTGCAAAGCTTTATTGTAAAGATTTAACATACAAAATATCATAAGTCATGCAGTTAGTGCATGGTAAAGACTTTTTAATAACATATCACGGCATCACGCATTCCCGCCCCTTAATTGGAAGTTATTAACCAACTGAATTCACTGCAGTAGTTAGCTTAGGTACAAGAAAATCGATCTCGTCATCGTCATCTAATAATTGAGATAGTTATTCTACGTGGACGGCAAAATATTCCTTTACGAGGCCAAAGAGATGATGGTTATCTTTTAGAACAAAAATTCACTACAATAGAATATGTTAGCAGTTTAAGGAACGATGGGAACCTATTTAGGGAACTATTGTGCTTTCAAGTGGCAGCTAGAGATATCAAACTTGAGAATCACCTTCAAATTTATCAGCAAATGAAACATACATTGGAAAGGGCACTCAGAATGAAAAAATGTATGTGCTGAAAAAATATTACAAACTTAAGTTGAAAAAGCACATCAGTATCGGCGATTTTCAATGTTTTTGATAAGACTATTTTAGAATATGTAGTACACAGAAGAGAAGAACAAATGAGAATTTCTAGAGATAGATCTTTTATTATGTATACAAAAAGACAATTCGAGAGGGTTTTATTTCATTTTTGATTGTTATGACTTATGAGTCAACTCGAATTGAGGATATTAAGAGGAAGGAACGGCGTATATCTGGAAAAGTTTTAGGACACGTTGTTGTTGATTTTTGTAATAAGTTTGAGCTGGAAAAAAACTTGGGATTATTACAGACAACTGTGCAGTTATATTATCGGAGATCAATGGTGCCATTGAAGAGAACATAAAGTAGAACGTTATGCAAAACGATGTCCCCGTACAAATAATTCTTTAAACAGATGTTTTTCAAGAAATCTTTAAAAAGGCACAAAAATACAAAATATTTATCCAAATTAGATTTTAAATTATCTAACGACGAATAGCAAAAAGGTATGTAGTAGGTGGTAGTAGTAAATATAAGGTCGAAGGTTGACGTAAGCAGTTTTTGTCCCATTATTTGGATGCACTGTGTGTCGGTGAGTAACAACACTTGTTTGATTTGATTACAATTTACAAAATATTTTGGGCGTGTGATTTAAAGTTTAAACTGAAATTGTTCACAAGAAGTAAAACATAAAGCATTCAATTACAATAAATATAACCATGTTAATCAATCCAGTAATGTAAGCTTTTAAATCGAGTACTTTTAATTCATTTGTCAAAATACAATCTTGTTACGATGCCGTCCGCTCTTTGTGTGTTGTGCATGAGCTTCATTGTTTTGTACAGCGTTTATTCTGGTAAAAAAAACAATCAAAACATGTTTATTTTGATGTCATAACATAACAATTGTTGTAAATCAATAAATTCACTTTTTCATTTTTAAGTATGTGGTCTCATGTGTTGGCATTGCGATTCACTCCACGACCCCAAATGCGTGGATCCATTTGATAATCACTCAATGCCGATGAAAGATTGCAAACTGGAAAAACTAGACACGTACCCTGGTGTCCGAGGTACAATGTGCCGCAAAATCCGTCAAAAAGGTATACACGATTGTGCAGCATAAACAATTATTAAACACCTACTTAAATGGTTTATTGATTTAAATTATTTTTTAGTATATGGAAAATGGCGATTTTACCGGAGTTGTGCTTTTCTGGGTGAACCTGGCATTGGTGGTGACGAACGTTATTGTTTAATGAGGACAGGCACACATAATATATTTACTGAATATTGCACTTGCAATTCTAGAGATGGATGCAATGGTGCATCAGGAATCTCTTCTTCACTTTTAAGCATATCATTAGCACCAGCTCTTATTGTTTACAGAAGACTTCTGTAATGTGTTCATCAATACAAACCATAAAAGTAGTTGATACCTGATTAACGTTTTAAGATTTAAGAATATAGTTTTCGTCAGATATCAAACCATTTTTTTTTTAAATTAAGACAACAGTAATATTGGCAACTATATTATTTTTTAAGCCACTTGAAATTGTTTTACTTGTTATGATATTTTGTTGTGATTAATTAACTGAAAAGTGTAACTGATCCGTCCATTTTTAAAATATTTAATTATAAAATAACATTAGTATTAAAAATGTATGGTTAGTATTTTTTTTTTAAATATTTGTACCTACATGAGTATTCTCAGATTATTTTGTGAACAAATGTTTAGAATTATTTATTACAAATTTACAACCTTAAAATTAGAGTATACATATATTTTTATATTTTTGGTACATTAGGTTTTATAAAAACAATAAATAGTTTTGTATTTTATCTTTTGAATAAGTGTGTAACTCAGTATTATTAGTTACTAATTTGTAACAACTATTTTCCAAAAATGGGTAAATAATCAATTTTATTTTTGCTTATCATATTAATCCACTTTTTTTATACTATGCAATTTTAAGAAGATTTACTTTACTTAATTATATAAGATAAATCCTTTTTTATGTAATTGGTTTCATACAGTGATGATGTGAACTATGTTACATTGAAAAGTCTCTTTCAAAATATGTTATAAAAACATTGTATCATAGAATCTCATTTGTTTATTTTGTTTTCATATTACAGTAAAACCTCGATAAGACGGAATCGCATGGGACCATGACATTTTTCCGTCTTGACGGGGTTTCCGTCTTGACGGGGTTTAAAAAAGTTAATTTAATATAATTAAAGATTACATACATATTTATTTTAAACCAGTTGGTACATATTACATACAATTTATACTTATATTTATTATAATTTTATATTTATACTTATTCATTTATATTTATTCATTTATATTTATTTATTACATACATATTTATTGTACATTAATATTTTATTATAATATTTTTTAAAAACGCAGCGACACGAACGTAACGATATATGATTTGATACTGAACCAAGCAACTCAGATAATGTTGTATACTTGTATAGGGTATAGGTACGTATCAATTTTATTAGTTTTTAATGTCATCGTACGCGCTCGTATATCGATAATCTATGGGTAACGACAGTACGAAAATAAATTTATTACACGAAAATCGTGTTATATTTCCGTCTTAGCGAGGGTTTTCATCAACTTTCATTACAAAAACGTGTCCGTTTCCGGCTTGGCGAGGTTTCCGTCTTAGCGGGATAAAATTATATGCAATTTGAAACGTTACCAAAAAATTTTTCCGTAATACCGGGGTTTCCGTCTTACCGAAGTTCCGTTTTAGCGAGGTTTTACTGTATATCAAAGTATGGTTTTTAATATGTTTTACCTTTTTTACTTTTTTTAATTGTTCATACAATTATTTATTAAATACTTAGTTCAACTTGAAACAACTAAATGTCAATTGTATTTATTTCAACATATTTAATATTAATTTTGTTGATTAATATCTTGAGTGAGAACTATATAAATGTTAAAATATCTCAAATCATTGTATAATTTTAATTTAATTTAAATATAATAACAGGCAGTTTATAAATGTATCGGTTTTTTGATGATTCCTCCCCTCACATATCATATATACAACTCTACATTAATTATTAATTGATCGTTTCTTTAATAATTGAATAAGTTGTTATTTTTTTATCTGTAACATAATATACTATTAAAAAAGGGTACACAAGTCACTAGTCAGTCTTGTTAATCATTAAGATATTTTAGTTGCTGAAAAATTTCGCTGATTTGAAGAACAATTTTTATTTATCTGGTTAATGAATTATGAATAAAATTGCACATTAGTTTTGTGAAATAATAACTGTTGAGTATATGGATAATGCAAAAGCAGTTATTAGTTACTACATATTTCATAGTAAATACATTTTCTTCTTACTAGCAGTTCCCAAAATGTGACCAATAGTGCTCTACAGGTATCACCGCCCATACAAAAAAATTATTATTTTCAGTTAAATGTAATTATTTTTAGTAATTTAAATTTGAGTTTTTTGGACCATTTATCTGGTTTCCCAAAATTGTGTCCATTAATTATAACATTTAACAAATTTATCTTAGTGCCCTAAAATGCAGATAACATTATACACAACTTTAGTTTTCTCAGTTTTCTTAACTGTTGTACTTGGCTAATGACTAATATTTTTCTTAAAATTACAGGTCTTAAATTGATTACCAATGAGAACTCGAGAGGCCACTGTGACTAAATATAGGACAAACAAAAGCTCACTGCCGCACAGTGGTCTGAAAACCAACTTTTTTACTTAAACAAAATTAGTTTTTTTAGATTATTTGTTTCCAATGTTGTTTAGTTTAAATTTAAATTATTATAAGGTCTTAAATATGATGAAAATGTTTTAAAATTAAACAAATATTTTCGTTATTGCGATTATTGTAATTAATGTATTATTTTATTCAGAATTGTTGCCTTTGTCACTGTCATCATAGATTAAATAACGCATATTTAATCTATGCTGTCATTATCAAAATCACTATTTTCGTCCACCTCAACTATTAGTAGTGCTCTAAATATGTACCTTCATAAAATGTGACAATAATAACCATTAAACCACTAACATTTTTATGGAAATAACCAATATGCTAATCACTGATACAACTCGACGGAGAAAAAATTATGTCATTGAAGTTTTTCAATTATACCTATATGTTTAATAAGATAATTTTCGATTTCATCTTAAATAATGTCTTTCACAATGTAAAGCCACTACAAATAAAGATTTAAGTGATGCAAGTATGCAATATAAAATATGCAGTATTTATCTATTCATTAGAAAAATATGTATATATTGAAATTAAACTTATCATTTGAATTGATGTACATTTGAAAATAATAATTTAACTTTTATAAAACTGTACAAACACTCCGAACACAGTTGACAAAGGAATGAATCTTTATTTTTAATAAACTGTTAATATAGTACATTTTGTCTATAATCGTTTAAGTGGTCAACCCAGAGGTTTTTAAATGATATTCTATACATTGTTTGATACAATATCGAGTGCAAAATTTCTAATTTTTAATCGTTTTTTTTTTCTGTTTCGTCCGCCTAAATTTGTACAGCAGATACACCATACACTGTAGGCCGAGTTAAAACTTTGCAAATAGTGGCTATAAAAATTTTAAATTTAATTGTTTTTGTTTGTTATACTTGTAGAACTTTGATCGTTTTGATTTTCCAATAGTTTCATACTGTTTGTATAATTATTCTTTGAATGTAAAAAAAGTATATTTACCAGGTAGATTAATATGAAATATGTCGAAAATAATATATAATTTTTTTACAAAATGCAAATGACCAAATAATAAAATCTATTCAATACAAACAGCATGCAGCATGTATGTTGTAACTAACTATTGCAATTCAAAACATTATTAAATTCTGACATTCAATATATTTTATGCCTTCAGAAAAATAATTTTAAAAGTAATTAAAATATAAGTAGTACCACCCAATAATACAATTTAATAATTTATACATAACTTAAAAAAATGTATTCACTTAGTTTGTAGTTGAATGAGAAAAATGTGATAGATGTTTACTATCTTGAAACTATACACATTTTTTAAGAATGTGAGAGCATACTTATATAATTTTTTTTATCTCTTTTTTATCTTTCTACTATGATATAATATAACAAACCAATGTAATATGTGAATGCAAGTATATCACTACAACAAGACATTATAGATATTATGTTTGGTTTTAAATTTCAACAGTAACAGTATTTAACATCTCTTCTGCAGTGCACTGGATATATTAGAAAACTAAAAATTGTGGCAAATAAACATATTTGTTATTTTTTACGATTTCTTATGAAAAAAAAATCAATATGAATATTATTGCATTTTGTGGAAAGCAAACATAAATTCCAACAGGTTTTAATGAAGCAAACATAATACCTATAAGTATGTATATTTTCTATTTACTTGAGTTTTAATTTGTAACCATGCTTATTACATATTATTCATAATTTTAGGAAAAATGTTATTTATTTATAAGCTTTTATCATACAGAACAGTCTATGGCTTTCATTAAAAAGTAAATAAATAAAAATAAAATAGTACACAGTTATCAGAGTATTTGTGGAGTATAATGTGAGATAAAGGAAAAAATGCAATTATTTAAAATAAAACCCATCTTTAAAAATAATAAAAGGTTGTGCTGAATATATGTATGTTCATTTGTTATAGAAACAAGGACCAAACCTACTTTTGGCCGCTCAGCTTGTGTCTAGCTTTAATGCATTTCTTTTGACTAACGTAGGTATAAAATTATATAATTCTTCTACCTTGCTTTTTGCTTCCACACATATGTGGTTGGTCATATGATTATTAAATAACATAAAAACAAATTGTTTTAAAATAATTTTCAGTGTGAATGCAACCGGAAAAATTCTAAGACAGAACATCACACATAATATACTTCTACTAAGGTTTGATAAGAGTTTAATCAACAAGAGAACAAGTCTCAATGCAAACTGTATTTTCTTAGAGCTGAACTGTGTAACAATGTGGAGAAAATGTTTAACTGAAACAAAAGTATACTTTAAAACTACAGGTTGTCAGTTTTTTACATACTTTCACAATTTGTTTAAGTAACACTTATTAATATGATAACATTATATTCAACTAATCAACCACTAGTTGTCCACCAAATGTTTAAATCAGATTCACTTACAATTTGTTTAAGCTTTTACTAGTTAGAAATGACTCTGGTCCTCTGGGGTTAGACGTTCAATGTTCTTATGCTTTATTTTTTACATCAAAATCAGCCCAAAAAATGACACTTACTGCCATCATAATCAGCATAAATCGAAATAGAAAAGATGTAATGAAACTATATGTATTTCCAAAAGTAATTCTCTACATTGTACATTCATACCAGATACTAAATTAACAAAGTGTACAAAGCATTGATAATTGGTTCCAGATTCAGGTAATGGAGAAGACAGGCATTTTTAAAAAGATAACAAGCCATTTAAAATTGTTTATAAAATATAACAGTTTATATTTTAAAAGTAATAATTAAGTGAATTATAAAATGTATAAAAAAATGTAGTGATCAACACTATAAAGTTTGGACGGAATTCGTTACGAGATTAAAAATAAGTTTAGATCAATTTCTTAATATGTACATAGTAATTAATGAACACAATGTGGTTGTTATGACGGATAATGGTGTAATGTTTGTGGATGAATTACAGTTATCTTCAGAACAGTAACATTCTTCCCAATAGACTCCATTCCATTCAACTCCCCAGTTGCATACACCAGTTACACCCGTATCTGAAACCGATCCACAACGGCGGATCACATTTCTCCAACGACCATCCCCTGAAATTAAAAACAATAAAATATAATTAACATAACATATTAATATTAGAATACTATACAAATATATTGATGATATTGATCAAATCAATTATTAGACACTTTTGACTCACATATAAATCCTCGGAGACCTTGTTTCGTTACTTTAACACAAAATGTGCCTGGCGTATGAGATTCATCACTGGTGCATTCTACCGAGACATGACGATCCTTGTGGAATTTTTCGTATGCACCACAATTATCAGATCCCTTTGGGTCGCTACTTGTAGAACACTGGTAGCATTGGATTCCACTTACTAAACACAACAAGTTAAGCCTTAATTATATTACTATGAAAGGGCGTGACAAAAGACAGCCACACCTTTTAGACTTAAAATTACCTTTATGCAAGAATGAAAAACCTAAGATTAATACAAAACATGAAAGTATAGTGGACTTCATTATAAATAAAATAAAAATTAAGCTATTCGTTTACAAAATTAATATAGATAATTTAACGATATAAGAATAAATTACGTTTTTTAAAAATTTTAAATTGTCTAATGGTAAATACTAAATAGTAATTCAAAGGGAAATTTGATTAAGCTGATGACAAAATATGTGAAATGATAATGGATAAAATATAAACAAAACAACCAGGGGTGCTCAGTGTGAAATATGTACTAAAGTTAGGACCACGAATTATGTATAATATTCACGGCTACATTTATTTAGCCATGATAAAATATATTTTTGGGGAACTAGTAACTATTTTAAACGGGTTGTAAATCAAAATTAATATTATAGAAATAGAAACTTCAAAATAAAATAATTGTTAGTGTTCAATATAAGCGTTAAAAAAACACATTTAACAATATTATTTATAGTAGTTATGATTATAAGAAAAAAAATATATTTATCATAATATAGGCATAAAGTAAAGTTCGATGATATAGTTGGGCATTATTCATAAAAATTGATTAAAGATTATTTTTTATGTACGAAGTTTCTTCTCCATGATGACGCCATGTTAACATTTTTAACATGGATCTTCTATGATATATTAATATTTAATTCAACCATGGATTTTTCTATGCTTTTTATTAAGCGAGTCGCGGTTGTCGACTGCTGACTCCCTGTTCCAGAGTTGTTAAAAGTTCATAGTTCATAGTTCATACTCCAATACAATATGTTTTTATTTACTATTTACTAAAACGGTTCTGAAACCGTTATTGATTTATGTCGTACGTCAGTGTTTTGATTTGCTTATTCAACATATATTAAGCTAAATATCTGGGGTAGTAATAATTATTTATAATCGTAAAGTTTACAATTCTTACTGTTGATTCGCCGACCTGTGAATGGTCTCCAGTATGGGTTACAGCCGGAAGTAAGTCTATCGCTGTATCCAATATGAGCAATATCACTTACATTTTAATAAAACAATAATTTTGTTTTTAAATAATCTTTAACAGTCCAATATCGTCATCGAGAGATCGTAGACGTGGGCGGGATAGACGAAGTCGAAGTCCGATACGTCGTCGAGGTGGTGGTCGAGGAGGTAGAGGTGATCCTGGCTCTAACTTACGTAAACCTCGATGGGAAACAAAAAAACTTGAACCATTCAAAAAAGATTTCTATTTGCCGCATGAAGCTGTCCATAATAGGTAAAAAATGTAATTTATATTTAATTAAATTGGTTAAAAAATTGAGGTGTAAAAATTTAGTTTAAAGTACAACTCTATTCTAAAATAATTAAACTTTAGTAAATAATAACAATTATAGTTATGAGGGCAAATCTTACAGTTTTGAAGTGCTATTGAATCCCACATCTAATTAGTAATAATTGACATAATAAATAGTAGGTTTGGCTTATTTATTCAGTGAAACAAATTTTGATTGACTTTTAAATTTATTTATTAATAACTACACAAATTATTAGGTAAGAACCTACGTTATCTTAGTTGGGACAGTTGTAACGTCATCATAGGCGGAGATCTTGTGAAATATTGAGGAGGGCTCAAATATTTGATGACAAACAGACCCGTAGGGGCATTGCCCTCACACCCCCAACAAACTAATTTTTACATTAAATCACTCATAAAAAATTGTTCTCGTTGACTAGTTATCATAACAACTTAAATAGTTACAAACATAAAAAAAAGAATAATTAATAAACGATTTAAATTTAAATATTTTAAACATATTTGAATTAAATTATTTATTTAAAATCTAAATCACAATCTCAAAAGTAATGTATTCCCAAGAACATCAAACAATAAGTAAAATATAATTTAGTATAAAATGGTCAATACGGTTAACGATTCATTCAATCACAATAAACTTTACGATAGGTTTAATATAGCTATAGCGATAGTCCTATAAATTATAATAGCATCGCTTCTCGAGAATTAACAAAAATTAGGAAAAGAAATAATATTTTTCCCATCTAAAATAGAATGGTATAATATGTTATTCAATATAGATGGCCAATTGGTACAAAATATGTACAATATTAGGTATATAAACACAATTTAATATTATTGTGAATTGTGACTTAATTGTTCGGTATGTTACCGTAAATAATAAATTGGTAAATACTAAATAGTGTGTATGTAATGTACTAGGTACACTTCTATAATTGTGGATATAAGAATATAAAATAATGAAAAAATTCTGCAAACTGTACAAAATTACGGTATTGTTTGTTTAATATTCTTAGGTGGACTTTAACTTCAAATCAATTATTTTGGGGGGACTAAGCCCCCGTAAGCCCCCCTGATCTCCGCCTATGAACGTCATCTATATTTAAGCTGGAATATTATTTATTCAGATGGCCATGGTGGCATGAGCCAGAGCGACATACTGGCCACGGACTGTCTCTCCCTAGGCCAGAAACTATTCAGAGAGAGAGACTCACGTGCCGAAGGCAACATGCAACTATTGCACTGTTTAAATGACAAAAACTTCATTAAGATGTAAAAATATGTTGTTATTAAACAATAACATGCAAAATGAAAATTGTCGTAACTGCTTCTATGTTAGTAGAATTCCATGCAACTATTATTTTCTTTGCAATGTGCACAACTAAACAAAAAAAATATACAAAATTCCTCAACCAAGATTCTAACCCTATACATAAGAATATTTTTATTTTTATATATTCTTCAAAAAGAATTGAATCCCCGCTGAATCGGTATTTAAAACAAGTAAATAATGACAATACATTTTTTTACATTACTATAATATCAATATACTTAAATGAATACATATATTTTCATTATAAATATTTATAATGTAAAATTATGTATACAATCTAGTTAAATAATACAATGTAAAACTATAGAACTAAAATTACCAATAATTACTAAAATCATCTAATATTAATATAATAATTAATGAGTAATGTAATGGTCTTATAAATTTGTTAGAGATATGTATATTTTATTCTCATTGTAACCAAAGACTAATTTTTTTCTTAAGCATCTTGAAATAGTTACTATGTTTAATTTCTAATGATACTTAATATAATGTACATTATTGGACTGATGTAAAAGTAGTTCTTTACACGTGTACTTTGAAAGTAAACTAAATTTGTTTTTAAAATCATTATAATAAGTTCTAATAAGTAATATTCTGTAATTATATTTCTATAAAATGTATATCACTGTGCTCTCCAAATTTTTACTCCATAGTAATTAAATACAGTGGTCGTCGCTTATTGGACTCACGGTTAATTGACTCATTCGCCTATTAGACTCAAAACGGCTAGTCCCGATTTGCACATATACTAACACACAGCAAAAAATTTGTCTATTCGACTCACACACCGGTTAATAGGATCATTTGAAAATTAGATAAATAAATAAAATATGTACATACACTGAACAAACGTGTTATAAATGCGAAATAAGTCGGTACTGGTATTTTGCGCTTCAAATTTTACGTAGAGGGTTTCAGCAAAGAGGATTTTGACATATTCGAGCAACATAAATCCTACAAAGATATGATAATGAAGTTGGCTGAAGAAGGGAAAATCCAATCAACCCTATATGGATTTTTATCGAAAAATTAATTAGATTTTACATACATTATTATACTAAATATTATTTTTAATTGCGTATAGCTAGATTTTTATTTTGATACATACATACCTTGAATCTCAATAAACATTTTTTAGTTAAATACGTTTTTAAATGTAAGGATTTTTAAAAATTTTTTGGTCATTCGCCTTATTGACGCATTCGGTTAATGGACTCAAATGGTCAGGTCCCAAAGTGAGTCCAATAAGCGGCGACCCCTGTATATTAAACAATTGACACCTATGATTCATATATGTATTAATTATTTTATAAAGTGTCACATTGTTGTGTATATATTTTAAAGCCCTGTGTTCTTCTGTGTGCAGTGCCGCAAAAACTGGGTGTGCAGACTGCGCGGCGCACACGGACCCCAAAGCTTACATACATTTAGGGGCCCCCCGAGTCCAACCTGAAGCATACAATAAAATTGACTTAGAATTCAAATTAGTGTAGTTGTAGGTATACTAATATTAGATTAAGTAATAAGTATGTTAAAATAGGATGGTAGGTTTTAGTAGGTATATCATAAAATCAATGGTACTGTCTAGAATCACGTATCTACTATGTTAGAAAAAGATGGGTATCAAGTATTCAAGTGTCAATGGTTTTAACTTTTGAAGTAGGTACTATCTATTTTTCCATAAGATCTACTTTTATCGCGTCTATGGGTCGTTGTTTGTCAAATTGTCGGAAGAACAACAGGCTGATAGCTGAAAACGACGACGGTTAACGAGTAACGACGTGCCATAAAAGTAATGTTTTGACGTATTAGTGTTAATTTATAAACTATTAAAATGTCGTGTTATACCAAGAATAATATCGAAGCATCACTGATACGACCACAATTGTCCGAGTTGTTGGTATTGGTTAAATATAATATATATTTTGTAATTTTAATGATGATATCTAGCTATTACCTACTTTTTAGTTATTGACGCTCCGAGCATCATCATTCATCAGGTAACTTACTGTTTAGTGTTTAAGGTTAGTTAAATAAATTTGTTGGTCTATGCCATTTATGTTCTTCTTTATTATATTCTGTGATTCTACTGTAATCAGTCGTCACAAAATGAGTAGTACCTAACAATGTGAGAACCAATTTTATTTTTCTATTTTGTAATTTATACATCTTTTTGGATATTGTATGAATACTAATGCGAATTAAACTAATTTTTAAACTGTCGCCTAGGTATGTTTAAAAAGAAACATTTGAGCGGTTCTGAAAAACGAAAACACTAGGAGATAAAAATGTAAAATACATATTTAAGTGGGTATTTCTTAAATATGTAGTGTTGCATAATACACAACATTTATAGGTATTTAGTTCTATATATATATTATATATTTTAACCCATGTCGTAGGACCTCCACTGGAATCACTCTGAAATCTGTTTAATCTGCCTTTTTATTTTTATTAATTTTAGCTTATTCTATACCATCACTTATTCTTATTGTTCCCTCTCAAACGGATTGAATAAAACTAATGAACCAAAAAATAAATATACATATACGTAGGTATACACAAAACCTAAAAGTGTTAGTACTTATAGATTGTAATACTTACAGTAAAATTAATTTAGGAAGGGCCCAAAAAAATATTGCCCACGGGCACCTTATTATGCAGTTGCGGCTCTGTGTGATGTTGGTGTTCATTTTTCTTTATGAATGTATATTTATGTTTAAAATGTTGTATTCATTTTGAGTTGAGTAAAACATTTAGATAATTTTCAATTTATTTCTATACATTAACTAATGACTGTATTTTATCTGTATAGTTTTGAAATGAAAATATTTATACAATTCATTTAAACAATTATTTTATTATTTTATTTATAGATCAAAATCAGATATAGAAAAATACAGAGAAGAGAAAGAAATAACGTTAGTTGGTGAGAATATTCCAAAACCAATATTTAAGTTTGATGAAAGTGGCTTTCCTGAAATCATAATCAAGGAATTAAAGTAAAACATTTTTATTCAATATATGCTAGGTAATTGATCATTAGATTACATGAATATTTTTCGAACAGGAAACAAGGTTTTGTTGAACCTACTGCTATACAAGCACAAGGATGGCCAATAGCTTTGTCCGGTAATAATTTAGTTGGTATTGCGTCTACTGGTTCTGGAAAAACACTATCGGTATTTTATTGTTGCATAGTGTATGAATTGAAGCATAATGTAAATGTATATAATTTCATTTATTGACAGTATATTGTTCCTGCTTTAATACATATTTCTCATCAACGCAAATTGGCACGTGGTGATGGACCTATTGTATTAGTATTGTCTCCAACTCGAGAATTAGCCCAACAAATACAAACTGTTTGTGACGATTTCGGTGATGCATTTGGAGTTAGTAGTACTTGCTTATTTGGTGGTGCGCCTAAAGGTGGTCAGGTATGTTTAAATACTAAAATAAATAAATTATCATTCTTTCTTTGATTTTCAATGTTTTTACTATAGGCATCTGACTTAAGTCGTGGAGTTGAATTAGTTATTGCTACACCGGGTCGTTTATTAGATTTTCTTGAAAGTGAACGTACAAATATGTGTCGATGCACATACCTTGTTTTGGATGAAGCTGATAGAATGTTGGATATGGGGTTTGAACCACAGATTCGAAAAATCATTGATCAAATAAGAGTATGCAGAAAATAATGAATAAAATAAGTTATATATTATATGTATATATCTATCTATTCCCTTGCAGCCGGATAGACAAGTATTAATGTGGTCAGCAACATGGCCCAAAGAAGTGAAGAATTTGGCAGAAGAATTTTTAGATGAATATATACAAATAAATATTGGTTCCTTAACATTGGCAGCTAACCATAATATCCAACAAATTGTTGAAGTCTGTCAGGAATATGATAAAGAAACAAAGTATATATTCTTTAATAGGTTACGTTTTTAGTTTCCATCATTTTTTGACGTTTTATATTTTATTAGGTTAATATCTCTTTTAAAGAAAATAATGGATGAAGATGAAAATAAAACTATTGTTTTCATAGAAACTAAGCGGCGGGTGGATGAAATAACAAGAAAGATTAAAAGACATGGGTAAGTTAATACAATAATATTTAGTTGGAAAAATGTTGTTAAAATCATATATATTTTTATTATTCATTAGATATTCAGCTGTATGTATTCATGGTGATAAATCACAATATGAGAGAGACAATGTTTTGAAAGGTATGATTATTATATTTTTGTATTGCTTGAATTTGAAAAAAAATTAAGGTATGGTCAAATTTAATTGATGTATTATAGATTTCAGAGATAGTCGTTACCCTATATTGGTTGCTACAGATGTGGCTGCTCGTGGACTTGGTGAGTAACTATAAATATGTCTTAAAATTTTAATATAATTAATTCCTAGTATAAAACCAATATTTGATTAAAATCAAATTATATAATATTTATTAAAAAAAACAATACAATTTGTTACGATAAAAACTTGAAGGTTGTATTTTTTTAATTTAACCATAGGACATGATATTTAATAGAATTTTACTTTCCTAGTGAAATAAGTTTTAACAAATCGTATTTTTATTTAATTTAATAGGTAATTTAAAATTATGTTGTACTGACTTCACAGATAAAAGTATTTAGTGCATATTATAGTTTTAATTCGGGTAACTTTTAGTTATAAATTAAAAAAGTTATTATGATTATGTTTATTCTAAAATAATTAAAAATATTCTTACACCCTTTACGTCTTCTAACTATTTAAATTTGATAAAATAATATTTGCTAACTGGAAGATTAACCAGATTCAAAATACATTCGCTTTGGTGATGATTTTTTAATATTATTTAATTTTCTTCCTTTCCGTTGGTTTTATTTTAAATTATGTGAAATAATTAAAATCATAATTAAAATTTGAAAAGTTCTAAATATTAACGAATAAAAAGAAAATCAGTTCTTTTTATTGTTGATGACTATTAAAGGTTTTCATCAAACCTTTTTCTCATATTATTTTTCTTACATTGTATACAAATAACAAAGTGATCACTGATTACAAGGAAAACTCAAATTATGTTTAAGTGTGATTTAAAAATATATATAAACGTTTTTAATGAATTGGTTCTGAAGTATAATTACCAACTACAACATTAATATACTTATAGCTATTTTATTCTTTTATTCTTAAAATTATTCTATTGACGACATTATTCTAAACCAAGTTTATCTTTTTAGATAACGTACCACAATAATTCAATTCCACTTCCTTTATTAAGTATTAGTTTGCTCTGTCTTAGAGTTTATGTGATTGTTTGGCACCATTACTTTATTAAAGACTCACTGTAATAAATTTCTTACTCAGTCACTATTATTCTAAAAATTGAAAACCCTCGTCATGATTATTCACTTTTACATAGTACGCTTTAATATCCCTTCCCTGTCTTCTTATTGGTTTGACATTGATATTTGTTTCATTACATTGCTGTTAATAAAAAATACTTTTTGACATTCATATTTTCTTGATCCCTCATACCGATGAAACTATTCTCTCTTTGACATTTCATTCAACTAACTGGTCTTAATAATCCAATGTATAGGAGGCGTTGCTACTTAAATTCTACTAATTTAAATTTTTTTAATCTTTATTTATAGTTATATCACCTAACTTAGTTGCAATCCAAACTAATAATATCATGCTTTCATTTTTATATATTTATGCTGTTGTACTTTTATAATATAAATATTAGCTATACTAACTTACATTATTTCATGTTGTATTTGTATTTAATTTGGTTATGTATTTTGAAAAACTGCCTGTTCAGGCTTAAATATAAGATAGAATTTCAGAATTCGACTACAAAATCTTTCAAATCTTAACTGATCGATGACTAAATATCTAATAATCTCAATGATAGACCACTTTATTGTCTGAATTATTAGTGCAGAGACTACTTATATTTATTATTTAATGTAAATTTTGTGAACGAACTGTGGAAATTCTGTTTGTTGATGGTTTTTCTTACACTTGTCTATGCATATCTAAATAAATTTAATAATCACTTAAACTTATTACGTACAATTTGCATGTATTGTTTATTTCTAAATAAAATAAAAATGTAGTAAAATACAATGTATGTAAAATGTATTTCCTACCATCCAAATACTTTTAATTTTAGAAAAACTATTGTATTTCTATTATTTATTTGTATCAAGTCTTTTGTAGAATATTAATACTTAATTTACTGTTAATTTATATATTGTTAAAATATTCACAAATTCCCATATTATCTGTTTTTTTAATATATTGCGTGGGTTGTAGTTAACTATTGTAGCAATAAAACCACAATTTACATGTAATGGGCTCGTTATGTTCTAAATTTATATAAATAATGATTGAGTTCAATAGCATTTTGCGCCTATTGTTTACATTCAGAATGTTCAATATAACTTTATTGGTTGTAGACTATAGTATATGGAAAATAGTAAATTCGCAAAATAATTGAAGTTAAGGTGAAACTTTTTATTTTTTATTATTTTATACAACTTGAAATTAATTTTTATCTCATATTGCTAGATTTATTTCACCTGTAATCTTATGTTGTTTAGTGACTGAAACATATACTGACTACTAAAAAGTTTATTTTGGCTGATGAACAATATGGTTAACAAATGTATGTATTGTTGAGGCTGTCAGAGCTGGCTATTTACTTAGAGGATGCTACACCCACATGTGTTCTCTCTGTCTTACAAACAAATTTTATAATTTTACATAGCAAATTGTACTTTCTGAATAATCTATTTAATTCAGGTATATTTGATTAATTCGGTCGCATATTAAAAAAAACATATCTGGGTTATAAATGGATTATTCAGAATATGTAATTTGCCATAATCTGCGTCTATAAGACGGAGATTGTGCGGCCAGATGCCATCTAAAGGGTTAACATTTCAGGAAATTTCTTGTTGGATGGCGTGAAAGCCACACAATAGGCTATACTTCAAATAATTAATTGATTTTCGAAAAAGCTACAATTATAAACATATTTGTAAATTGAGAATGAGACTGTTTTCAAAATTGTTTTTTTTATCTGTGGTTTTACCTTTACATAATAATGTCATAAATATGTACAATATAAATAAAAAAAACAATTATTTTCATGACACATAAAGGTAATTTGCTGAATACCAGTTTAGAATGGCTGCTCTAGTAATTACAGTTAGTGATATTCTTGTTTATAATCTAAGGTGACACACTGATATCCTCTTAACCCTATCACTATTTATAATGCACAGTATCAAAGAAGTATCATCTTTAATTCTTCCATTTATGTTAGTAGAAATTATTATTCATGATGGCTTCCATGGCATTCTATTAATGATGTTAAGTGTGTGTCTGTTAATATGTTAAATTTTTTGGATTCATGTAGCTATTATATTTTAAATCTGCATTGAAATATAACTCAAGTTTGTATGTACACGTAAAATGGGTATAATTTTTTTAGAACTACCTGGATATATAGGTGTTTGATATGTTCTGTTTTTTGTTTTATTTTACATTACAGAGGCACACACAAGCTGTACAATGCGTACTAAATTTAAAAAATACTATAAAAATGTATCAATGTTGTCGCATTGTCGACGCTGTGCCTCGAAAATGGACATGCATAAATAATTGCGTGTGGGTCTGTATGTTCGTGGCGGCTCTGGCTACACAAGTAGTTTGAGTGGTCGCGCAACGGCGGCAACGTGGGGCTAGTCATTCCACACTGCTGTCCCCCCAACTGCCGCCTTGACCTGTCTGTGTATGTTGTGACGTGTCCAACGTCAATCGTTGTCCCGTGTGGGGCGCTTAAACACGTACACCGGATGTCGATGGTAAATAGCAAATAAACAAAACGTTAACAATGTTATTTTGGAGATTCATTATGGTAAACGAAAGTGATTATGAAGTCTTGGGCCAAACAGCAACATTTAACAACTACAAGTGTTGATATTTAATACTATTTTTGATTTTTCTTAATTTATTTTAATTGTTGTTTAGATGTGGAAGATGTGAAGTTTGTAATCAATTTTGACTACCCAAATAATTCTGAAGACTATGTACATCGCATTGGTCGTACTGGTCGATCTCACAAGACGGGTACAGCTTACACATTCTTTACACAGTCAAATGCCAAACAAGCTGCAGATTTGGTTTCAGTTCTCACAGAAGCCAATCAGACTATAAGTCCTAAACTAAAAGACATAGCTGACAACTGGCGTTCAAATGGATTTTCAGGAAGAGGTATGATTTAAAATAATATATTTCATAGTAAAATTAAATAAAAATAGTTTTTAATATACATTACATTTTTATAGGTGATAGACGACGTGGATGGAGAAGTGGTAGATCCAAAAAATCTAAGAGCCGTTCAAGGAGCCGTGATCGTTATAAACGTAGATCAATTTCTAGATCTAGGTCTAGATCATACTCTAGGTCAAGAAGCCGTAGTCGTTCACGATCATATGATAGACATCGGAGACATAGGCGTAGCAGGTATTACTAAAATATTATTGAGTTAATATTATATGCATTTATTAAATATAGTATATTATTATTATATTTTAAAGTGCTATACCTATAAAGGGGCCAGTGCTGATTTTTCAAAAATTATAATCTTTTCCACTGCCCAATATCTATTTGGATTCTAAATTTTAGACTATAAAATTGTCTAATTTTTAAAAACATATTAATTTATAAATTAAAATATTGTTAAATTTGGTTCAGTGTATCCCTGTGACTCATAGCACATTAGTTTTAAAAAAAATTATCAAATTTAGTTGATTTTACGGGACACGATCATTATTCCTGTCTAGTGTATTTTTGTGAACGTAATTGCATTGCCACTGTCCCCTTAGTATAATATATTATAAATATTTACTATATATTGTATAGGGTTATTCAAGAAATTTAGTTTCTGGTACTTCAATTAATGTTATATGTGGCTTCCTTTGTTCACGAGAATAACATCTAATCAATAGTAAAATTCATCCCTTAGTTGTTACAGCATATCCAGCACATCAATTTTTCAAAGATATTGTGCACTTGTTAGTTTTTTTTTAACATATCCCCAACAGAAATAGTCACATGCCATAATATCGAATGGTCAAGGAAATCATGTGCAAAGTATCTGATGAATCATATTAAACAACCCTGTATTATTATAAAATAATTAATATAGGTAATTGTTGTAATATTTTTAATTTTAATTTTAGGAGCTCGGATTAATGACAATTAGTGAACAAACAATAATTTTCCATTTTTGTTGTTTTATACTTATACAATATATATTTTTTTTTTTACAATAGGATTAATATTATTTTGTGTTAATGATTATTCTCATTATTTTTTTTGGTTTATATATTTAAATTGTTTTACTAACAATCATTTTTTTTACACAAAATAAAAATATGTGTATAGTATTATGTTTGTTTATTAAAAATTAACCACAAATTTCAAATTATTATATTTCTACTTAATATATTAAAAATAACTATAAAACAGCTAAGTTTATATCAATGTAGATACATTTTAAATGTTGTATATTATAATGAATTGTTAAAATGTATTTGATTGAATACGTAAATTCTTTTAATTATATGTAATAATTATTGATAAGTTCATATCTTTAATCTAGTTTATAGTTAGTATAAAAAAAAATTGATTTTTAAAATTTATTTATATTATACCTAATAATTTTAGTCATATTTTAACAAATATAAATATATTAATTATTCTTAATTTATTTACATGTTTAGGTTAACAAATTTCTAATAATGCAATCCTAGTTGAGTTGTCAAAATAACTTCCAAACTTTGTATGTAATGAAATAGTTTTCAGAATATTTGTAAGTAAAAAAAAAAAATTGTATTATTGGTTCCCTTATATTATATTCAGCTATATTATAAAAACATCACTTTAAAATAAATTTTTTAAATAAAGATTCTTACATCTATTGAATATGACTTCCAATTTTTTATTTTTTTTGTTGTTGTTGTAACTTGTAAGTGTTATTTTCAATAAATTAACATACATTTTAAACACATGTAAAATGTATAAACATTAAATATAAAGAATAAATAAATAGTTCTTAATTTTAGACCTATTGTATTCAATATTGTGCTTAATATCTTAGTATATAGCAATGCAATTAGAGTATTCCGGTATTTTGTATAATTTTGAAGTCTGTGGACAGTTTATAAAATATATCAACTTCTGATGAAAACTGTATGATTACTTGTAGTTGTAATATTGAGTTATTTTTTCTTCATCTATAATGTAGATTAATTTAAATAATCTGAACAATTTCCAAATCAGTTGAAACAAAAAAGTTGTTCATTGAACAAATCACTAGTCTAAAATGTATAGTACAATAGTCTTGAGGTATGAAGGTGCTTCGGAACTTGACAGCTACCATCTAAATATTATGTAGTTCTATGGGGGCGTTATCTATGGTGTCCTCTTTCAAGTTTCTCTTGACCAGTGGTTCCCGTTGCTTCCATGGGTGAATGTTATTTTTGTAAATGTAAATAACTAAACACATCGTAATTCGGAACAGAAGTGGCATTCTAATTATATGTGTGAGGCACACTATTTGATACTTTGTACAGATCGTCCTGTGTTTGTTAAGAAAATTCATTTTTTTTAAATGTATGTATATGTGGTATAAATAAAATGTATCTTTCTATACGAAAGTCAATTAAAAGTATATTTAGACCATTGTTCACACTTATAATAATGAGTTACATGCTTGCAAATATCATAAAAATTGCTAACCTAGAGACAAATACAATGTTTCTTAAAGTTTATAAAAGGCAAACTCTCTCTTATACTAAAAGTACCTAATTAACACAGGGATGATTCGGTTAAAATTACTTGTGGGTAGTAGAAAACAAATAGCGCGCAGACATTCTCTTAAGACATAAAGCCGTATCTATCATGGACTACACTAGTAAATTTAACTCAAAATGTCGAGGCTAATTTTTTTTTTTAGCGGTGTGGGGGAATTAAATATTGATATTATAAGGAACTTCCAAACTAATGATTCATGGTCAAATCTATGTAATATTTCTGAAATTGATGATTTTAGTTTAGAAAACATGTTTAAATTTTATAAATTTAATCTCAAATAATGAACTGTTGTTAGTTTTAAAGTTAGCCTTAGCACAAATTATTTTGTGCTGAGGAGTGAGGACCAGCTGCTGTCGCAGTGTCGCTTGTGGTTGACACTTGACAGGATGTTTGACTTTGTTGTTGTTCTGTGTTATCACCATATTCTTACACAGAGTTACTCTATGAGATATTTAATAATATTGCACAATAATTGTGATAACAGAATCAGGCGACGGGCAGTATTTACTATACTGTATTTATATTAGTATTTTTTAGTATTTTACAATTGCGATTCGCAAGTCAAAAATCAAAAATTAAAACGAAGTTTGTTCAAATTCAACTATTAATAATGTCACAGTCACACCGGACTTATGTCAAAATCGCTAGAGAATAATGTGCCTTATGTAGCACTCCGTACTAAATAATAGTGGGGTAAATATTTGTCAATTAAAATTTTGCGACTGTACAAATGTCTGTACCATAATTTAAGTACGTTCATAAAATTTGTAAATTTTATTCTATTATAGTACCTTGCCTCCCAAGAAAAACAATGACTTTTCGATTGAGAAGACAGAACAGATAATAATATGATGTTCAAGGCAATTTATAAAATGCGGCCTATGTGTGGCATGCATTGTCCCCTAAATTCTGTATTAAACAAACGCTTACATAATACTAGTTCAAACAGTGCACAAAAAAAGAGAATACGTTCCACTGTATATTATCTTTCTTCACTGGGAGTATTAACGGTCGGTCTTAGTTATGCAGCTGTGCCACTGTATAAAATGTTTTGTCAGGTGAGTACTTATGTTCATAATTTTTAGTTACATTCACATAACATTGATAAGTCACTATAATTTTGATCAATTTATAGGCATTCAGTTACGGTGGAACGCTGAACCATAACATAGAAGATTCTAAAGTAGAAACAATGAAACCCAATAGAAATAGGGAGATTAAAGTTCATTTTACTGCTGATACGTCGTCCAGTATGCAATGGAGCTTTAAACCTCTTCAGAATGAAATCAGAGTAATACCTTTATGTTTAATAGAGCATTGATAAACTCCAGATTAACTGTAACCAACATAATGATTTACATTTTATTCGGTTAGTTAATTAATAAAAATTTAATTTTACTACTTTATTCTTTATTGAATTGATATTTGATACCATAGATATTTATCATTACAATTAACATTAACTTGAAATTACAAAGTTCTTTAGATTCATTGCAAGATTGTGTTGAAGTTAGAAGTATCATAATTTAATTAGAAGTCACCTTGTGGCTGGAGTACAAAGATACCTAGCATGTCTAGTGCCTACTGTCGGGTTAAATAATGAATACCTATCACACAGTTGTATTTTTCTTTAACTGTTTGACGAAATGATTAAAATTATTTTAAACATTTAAATTTTGTTTCTGGAAGTTGTAACTATTTACATTGGAACATTTTCAAATTACTTTACTTTTTCTTTACTCTTCTAATTTTTTTTATTACATTATCTGTTTTAATTTGTAGTCAACATTTTTTTACATTAGAATGCCCTAATAAATATCACTACAATTTAAAAATCAGTTGATTTAGTTTTACTTTCAACTCCATAAAAAAAAGAAAAAACCTTATTTTTTTAAATTAAAAAATGTTGAAAATAAATTTAATATTTATTATATTTATATTAGGTAGCACCTGGCGAAACAGCATTAGCATTCTATACAGCTAAAAATCCATTAGATAAAGCAATTACGGGTATTAGCACATACAATGTTGTACCTTTTGAGGCAGGACAATATTTTAATAAAATACAATGTTTTTGTTTTGAAGAACAACAGTTAAATCCAAATGAAGAGGTATTTTATAAGCTATTTACAATACAACAACAGGATTGACAATCATTTTATAATTTTCCAGGTTGATATGCCAGTATTTTTTTTTATTGATCCTGAGTATACCGCTGATCCAAAAATGGAGAACATCGATGACATAACACTGTCTTACACGTTCTTTGAAGCCAAACAAGGTGTAGATTTATCAAATATCTTCAAACACTGATATAATACATAACTTATAAGTTATGTTTATGGTAGTAAACATTGTTGATACAACATGCGTACAGGCATTGTTTTTACAAATTTTAATATAAACAAAGCTAAAAAAAAGTATATACAATATATATTTATAAAAAGGTTATATTGTTATTTTTTTTAATATGTACATATTCTTATTGCCGAAGTAAAACAATTTTGCATTGGCAATGAAGCTAAACCAGAAAATAAGCGTTAGATTTGGGATTTTATTTTAAAAAAAGGTAACATTTGACAAGAATAGTTATCAATATAGGGTATCATAGAATAGGAATTGATATCTTGGTACAAGAACATTTATACTTTATAGATATTTGCATTAACAAATATGTCATTAACAAAAATGAAGTATTGATTTCACTTAAATATCAAGTGTCAGTATAAATAGTGAATAAAGATGAGTTCTCAAACTTTCACCCTGAACATTTTTTGAAGTCTGTTAGAAATTAATGCTCAAAATTGAATATTTGAAATAAATTGAATTATTTGAAGTTTGAATATAAAATTGATACTTAAGCTCAGATCTAGAAAAATCATAGTTTGGCCTATCCTTTATCCCTTACTTAATATAAGTAATTCATTGATCATTCTGGGAATCCAGCATCTGGTTTTCAATTATCATATTCATAATACTTCATGCAGTCATTTATTGACAGTAAATGTATGGTAATACAGTAAATAATTACAAACGTAATGTATGTTTTTTAATATTTGAAAATTTCATATAATACAAACTTTTTATGGGAAATAATACTAGGTATATTATAATAAAGAAATTAGTCGTTGCTCAGTTGCTCAAGTAGCACTATGATAATACACACGATATTCGAAGAGTGAAAACAATTGGTTGAATATTTCACAATAAATTCACACTTCCAATTGCCACCGATGGAATGAGCACTTATTTTTGAGAAAAAACATATTTACCGAAAGTCAAGAATTGCTAAAAACTATTTATAGTTTCGATTGTTCAACTATAAAGGCCCCCGCATACGTGTCATTTTTAAGCATCGTGTTTATAGCCAAGGCAATTCTTTCGTTCCTTGTAACTGCTTGGTTTGTGTGAGTATTGTAAAATATGATCATTAGTATACACCACAGTCCATAACCATCGTCCATTACCATTCGATCTCTTCATTCAGAACGGAAACATTTGTGTCGTGGTCGGCTAAACATATTACCTACATACACACACGCGTATGCAAATGTCATTTTTGGTAGGTATTTCAATGAAAACCATATTCAAAACCAATTGTGGACGTAAAGTAGCTATACATAATTTCATAATTCGTACACTTCATAGAATAACAACAATTAGAGTAGGGTACGAGGGTACCTATACTTCCAAAGTTCTTAAAGTTCGATTAAATGCATAAACACGCAAATACATTCCTTTTCATCGGTCGAAGCGCTTTTTAAATTTTGGTAAATTGAACTAAATTCTTGTCGAGGAAAAGATTATAGGTAAATGTTAAATATTAAATAAATTAAAAATATTAAATAAATTAAAAATATTGAATACAAGGTTATAGTTTCATCATGAAATACTTATAACTTATTATTTCAAAAAATACCAATATTTTTTTCCTCATATTTTAAATTGTTACTTTTTCAAGTATTTCGATCGATACAAATTGAATTTAAGATGAGTTTTAAGTATTTAAAGTTTAGTTGAATAAGGCGCCGAGTGGTACGCGGTTACCCCGTGATACGTTGGTCTATTATTCTGCAGTCTGTTCATCTTTACTTAAAAGTTTAAATACTTATAAATTATAACTCATTAAGTACCCATCGTAAATTCGATTTCGATGCATTGAAATAATTAGAAAAATATTCTCATAGCGAAGCTTAAATTAAAACTATGTTGTCATTCAAAAAAAGTCTCACTTAAAAAAATAATTTTTTTTTTTGACTTTGTTTTGAAACGACTTGAAACATAATAAAACCAAATTTCAAACATTAACACTTTTTGAAACAATAAGTAGTTCATGATTGAAGAATCAGCTGGATACACTATATACTATGCTCCTAAACTTATTCACTAAATCAAGAATCTTAATATTTTTTTTAAATCGAACCAACAGAAGTAGGTAGGTACCTAATTTAATTTTTACCAGTCACTTATATATTATCATTTTGATTAAAAATTGATAGGGTTTGCAAGGGCCTTAATAAAATCATACAAATTACATAATATATCTCTACAATTTTCACAACGTTGGTGGTTTTACTGTAAACCCATTCAGTAATCCCTATAACCCGTAAATCTTAATTTGTGGTTACTACCATGAACTTTCATGACACGAATGTAGATATAACGAACTGGAAACGAGTCACGAGAGTTGTTGGAGGCCGCTTGAGGTTGCGTATTTGCGTGAGATGACGACACGACGTGTCTGGTCTACCGAAAGGTAAAAAAAATACGACACGAACTTAACAAAATAAATTTAGAATTGAATGTTTCTCAAATGTTATTAAGAGCATTACATAGGTATATAATATTATGATATCAATGATGAGCGATTACTGATGAATATTGTTGAGAGGCATTTAAATAGCTCCGCAGTACTCTGTCACCGCCGGTCATGTCATTTCCAGTCCATTCTATCTTAGTCTTTAAGCCACGTTACTGTCGGTAGCTACTTAAAACTTACTAGTTTGCACTTCGCAGTGGCACTTAATGAGTTGAGAAAGAAATAGGTGCAGCTGCATACCCTATGTGGCGAGGGTAAACATGAATATTGTAGACAATTATTCATAAAAATGATGACAACGTTGAATACAGTCATTATATAATGTATGGATATTACCATTTACCTACTCTACAAGTGTATAAATATTATACTTGCCTAAATATATATATATTATACATACTTACTTGGGCTTGCTTCGAATAGAATTTGTGAAAAGTGTTATACTTTTGAGGCAATTCATTGCTTTCAATATATAAACTAATTAGTGATGTACGAGCTGATATAAAGTTATATGTACATCTAGGCAGGTACCAGTATGTGATATTTTTTGTGAAACATCAGACATTAGAAGGAAATATAAGTAAAATATGTATAAGGAAATAAAATAATTGTAAATTTCTAAGGCTATCGTCAATTAATCTTAGAACATAGACAATTATGAATTTAGTTTAGTTTAGATTAATGCATATTGATTGATCTGTGATAAACAATTGGAAGTAAAATACAAGAACGTAAGTTTAAAAAGGAGACAAAATGTTATTGATTATTGAATAATCATGGATTTTTTCCATGCAAGTAAATATTAATTTACAGTTAAATGTTTGGTTTTATCTACATTTACTATCACACCAACACGTTTGATCATAATTTAATTGATGTTTTTGATTTTAATTCGAAAAATTTATGAGGTTGAACAAGAAAATATTAATTCATTTATTTTACCCTACTAACAAACACTTTTAGGTTTATCATTTTAAGTACACATAATATATATAAAATATAGAAATTAAACAGTAAAACCTAATATTTTTAGCCTCAAAATCGGTAAAAAATAAAAAATATTGCACATGATAAAATAAACAATATTTGTTATCTTACATAATATTTTTATATTATATACTGTTGAATGCCACAAAATACAGGTTATTTTTCTACATTTAAAAACAAACATTGATAAATGGAAATTCGTAAGGCAATTTTATCATTTTATCAAATAAAATAAAATTAAATAAGTTATTATTATTTATTATAAAATATTATTATTCACTTAAAACTCATAGTAACTCATAATGAGACGTTTAAAAACGGCATTAAATGTTTAAAAATAAAATAAAGATATAGGGCCAAAAGGTAATTTTGGTTGGTATATAAAGTATAGACCGACAACAAAACAAACGCAAAACACACTTTCTTGATATTAATTAGTTTACTTGACAGTAACACTTCTTGACAAGTATAATATAATTGATAATAATAATCATAATAATAATAATAATAATAATAATAATAATAATAATAATAAAAACCTTTTGCACATTTTCCGAAATTATCTTTTACAAAATATACATTCAAGGCTAATTATTGTTTTAGTTTTTGCATTCTTTCAATAAAAAAAGAAGATAATTAACTGCAGAAATCAACACTCAAAAATCTGCCAACTGGCTAAACAAACGCGTACAAATTTTAACTAAAACATGTGCCCAAATAAATGTTTACTCAAAAAAAAAAAAAAAAACATAAATTGTGTAGTACCTGAACGTTAAATAATATGGTAACAATATTGTAATGCAAATTTTTTTCTTAGAAAATATTGTTCTATATATTCGAATATATTGTCTGGTACTTAACGTTTCAAACAGTTACACAGGAAAAAAATGTATTTACAAATCGATCGGTTTATTTTTTTTCGAGAAACTGAAATGTAAAAAAAAAATATATATTTATATATATTATATTTTACTTAAGTCGTATCTATCACAAAACGAGTTTTGCTGTCAGCCAACAAATTTATCGTTGAAAAAAAAAAATTAAAATTAAAATAAACAAAACGTATTAACTTATTTACAAACGTTCCATATATAAATTAAATATTAGTCTACATTTATTTTTTTTTCATTTTAAAATGTATGTTTAATATTAAATGTCTTTTCATAATATCGTTTTCGTCGACAGAACAATTAAGCGGTGTTGAACGTTCTGCCAAAGAAAATTTTTGGAGAGCAAATATAGCAAAACAATAACATTTTTATTATCTTCTATTAAACAACTAAAAAAAAATAATAATAAATGAAAAACTATTTTTTAACTCGCATAAAGAAAGTATAGTTATAGATTTGTTACTACAAAAAAAAAAGATAATAATAAACAGTTTCCGAATATAATATACCAAGAACATTTCAGTTACAAAACATAATTTATTTGTGATATAAAAACAATGACGAGGAAAAAAAACATGTAACTTGTAGTTATATACAAATAATTAGTCAAAAACTGGTAAAAAAAAAAGATTTCATTGTCCTTAGCACGCGCGTATAATTATATAGTACAAGTAAACCAGGATAGAAATTAATTTTAATAATAATAATAAAAAAAGAATAATATAATTCACAAGTTGAAAATTATACGCGGTATTTACGTTGCGCGCTTAATTTCTTTCTCTTATAATACCGATTAGGCATTGTATGGACTTTGTACAAAAGTTTATCTTCAATTTTTTTTCCTAAACCTTAAATTAATTAATATATTAAAAAAAAACTATCTTGACACTTGATACATCAGTCGTTACTTAAAGTTTCGTGTTTGTGTAATTTAAATGGGATAGGGAAGGGGTGTTTGCATCGAGTATTATTTACATGGGTGGTGGGGTAAGGGTGTCACTATAAGGGAAACTTGAACGAGGGATCACGAGGGGGGGAGACTAGTTTAGCGAACGTCGCGGTTACTGGCCTGAGGTAGAGGAGATACGGGCGATTAGTTGGCGGTGGAGGAGATGGTGTTGAGTCGACAGGGCGGGGAATAGGACAGATAAGTAGGGGGAGGAATCGGATCGACGTTTGAGATCTGTTGATCAATATTTTCGGCGCGGCTGCTGGCCCCGTTATCTCCTGTCCCGGTATAATAAGTAAACGCTTAGAGACTGCGGCAGGTTCAGGTCCATGACGCGTTCTTCTAGGTATTGTTTACCGATTCGCTGTCTAATGACTCGTCTACACAGGTCCATCAGCGGCAAGGGTTCAGCTGCAACGATAACGATATTTTATTAATATATTATCACAATTGTGGTGACGTCGGTGAGTCAAGTCAGCCGAGAGCTGCTGCAGTGGCCGGCAGTATACTTACGATCTAGTCCACCGATGTATTTCATCGTAATTTCACAGTGACCCCAAACAGCGCTGACAATTGGGAATAATTTCCGCCCCTTGAGGCCTCTAAACGCTACGCCCAAATACTGGCCGTCTACGACAAAGGATAGTGTTCCCTCGTCCATATCCAAAACAACTGTAAGCAAACAACAAAAATTAAGACATGATATAATAATAATCGTCGCACGGACATCGACACAGTGTAAGGAGATCATCTCAGGTGTCTCGGGGAGCACCAAAACAAAATGATCTCGTACACGGAGCGAGGTGGTAAGTAATACGTACCTAAAAATTTATCTGGCACTATAAACGTCTCGTCGGGCTTGAGCAAGGCCGGATACGTAATGCCATCGTAGCTTTTCGAATCGTGGTACAATTTGTTACGCCCTAAATCCCAGCCCCATGACTGGTCGTTACTTCCCACCAAACTCTGGTAACCGACAGAGTGCAGGGGTGCATCTTGTGTCGCGACGCCGACCACTGCGTGCGTGCCGCGTTGCCTGGTCGACCAGTTTACTTCCCACACGTGCAGACCTTTGGTCAAGCCAGTCTTACCTCTGATGCAGTCGGTACTCTGGGCTACCGGATGCCTGTGGAATGTCAGTTTGTCTTCTTCCTGTGAACGAACGACGAAATCACGATTATTACTAGACACCTATACGGCGGGGCAAGGTGCAACTACTGGTACACGTCAGTCGGAACAATGCACAACGACAGAATACACATATCGCGTGGACAATTTAAATGATATATTACCTTGACAAATATGTTTAGAGACCTATCGTCCGCGTTCCAGCCGTGTTTGATTTGCATTTCTTTGGACGCCGGAGGCATGTCTAATAGTATGTCTAATCTGGCCGGACGGGCGAAATCTTGGGCCAGTTCTCTGGGTACTACGGGCTTGTAAGGTTGCGCACTTTCGCGGCTAACAGTTTTAACTCCACCTGAAACACACGAAAAGTATGACGATTATATATAATACGTAATTAGCGTAGTACGGTACGACACCCCAAGGTATGTGGCAGTGACGGTGTAGTAGTTTAGGTGCGGATTGTGGTGAGGGTGGGAGTGGCGGTGTGAAACGTTATGAAAACGTTTCGTACCGGGCGAAAACAGCCGACGCGCACAACACAACGAACACGCGGTCGTGGCAGAAATTCGCGCGATTTCGAATCGGAAGCGTTGTGCCTCCAACGCCGTGGAGGTATGGTTTCACTTACTTTTACCTAAGGCGGCGGTGTCGTCAGCGGCGCCGTCGACTGCAGCGGGTGCCACCGTTCCGTTGTTGGTCATGTCTAGCGAGGTTCGCCGTGTACCCGGCTATTATCGTTATTATGTAATAGAAATGCGTGTGGCAATAAACGAAACGGAATGGTATTCGAAACGAAAACAATGACGATAGATAATGTAACAATAAAAATACACCGAAATTATGTATACACGCGGTGACAAAAAAACGTACGCCGATGACTTTCGAAAGCGACGCACGCGCGTCCGCTAGAGATTCACAAAGAGACAAACGTTTGGTTTATTGCAGCGGAAAACTGTGAAGGCAGTGTTCGAGACTTGTGTTATTTATTCAACGGCTGACACAGAACGACGATTGTGGGTCGACTCCGGTTGGATGTGTTGCGCCGTAAAGAACGATTCCAAAACGCCACGGCCGCTGTTGGCTCAGATAAGAAAACTCGTTTTTCCGTATCTCCGAATCCTCAGCTCGCTCACTTTCGGACTATAGATAGAATATTATCGTTTTATCGGACGCGTTAATAGTGACCAGAGAAGTGGCCTTTCCAAACACACAACCACCGATTAAACTATGCAACTATAATACCGTCGACTACGCGCGGCACGCGGATTTTCAGAGCGCTCTGTACACACATCACGGACACGATATTATCATTATCGCCGCTGGTCGGACATTACACACGCGACGGCGGACGACGGACGATTTGGACTGTGAACGCGGCGGGCAAAATCACTCGCGGCCGCGGCGTCGGACCGGATTTTGTGGAGGGTGGGAGCTACGGGACGGCGGCGGCGGGGTGCGTTTTCCCGGCTGCACCCTTCGCATCCGTACAACTGTACATTATAGGTCCGCGGGATTCGTAAAAGAATAATGACGATAATAATAAAAATAATAATAAATAAAAAACTGCGTCACATGACCGGACGCTTTACAAACACCGAAAATTATCATCAAACCGGGGGAGGAAACGAAAAACAAAAAGCTGCGGAGAAAAGTCGATTAAACCCGTCGACGTCGTCGATGATGACGATGACGAACAACAGCGCCACGAATATATAATACATATTATACATCTAATTATAGCATTGCTGCATGTATCCGGAGCGACGAAGGGGTTGGCCGGCGGAGGGTTGGAGTTGACAAGGGTAGGGCGGTCGGTCGTTGTTTTCACAACTTTATCAGTGATAACACCACCCCTACAGCACCGTTTCGAAAAATATTCAACTCACTAGATATTTTCTGGCCCATGTTCATGGCCCGGTGGGCTCTGGTCCGTTGTCGGTGTCCTCCTCCGATGCTTACGTACGGCGAAGCGGCGTTGCCTTTGTTCAGGTGCGATAGCACCGACACGGAAGCCTTGTAGTTGTGGCGCCTGAGCTCCCTGAGCTCAACGCCCGACGACGTCACGCGACTGCTACCGCCGCTAAGCACAGCAGCGGCTGCTGCTGCGCCTAGATTGCCGCTGGTGCCTACTAATGCGCTGCTCGCACCACCCAGAGCACTGCCACCGGTGCCCTTCAGTCTGGAAAAGCAAACAAAAAAAAATTTCAACCATTAGTAAATAATAATAAGTCTTACGATGGGGTTAACTCATCAGGTATAATAATAATTATTGTACTCGAGGAACTGGTGTGTCTAGGAGTTGCACTATACTTGGTGCTACGACGACACTACTAGGTAAAATATATTTTTTATATTATATACTGCATGCCGCCGATCGTCTTAATTAATATTGAGTACAGCACGCCATTAAGGATCACCGTTTGTGTAGTATAATACTGGATTATATTAATTTATTATGTATACTCGAGTATACGGCTTTAAAGTAGGTATTCAAAATCATATTCTATGAACGCGCACGACATAGGTGCTCGTCGTCATAAACGGATTGGAAACCGCGACGCATAATATCTATTATACATTGACGCGTTTAGTAAACGACGGCACTTAACATATATTTAGTAAATCGGAATGTATATGACATGGTAATTAAGGAAAACTGAAATCTAATTTTAAAAAGTTATTTTAAAGAAAATTACATAATCATAATATTAAGTTAAATAATTTAAAGGTTCATTTCAGTACCTATTTATAACAGTGTTAAAAATAAATTATGAATTTCATGAGATTTTCCTTGAATTAATAATTTTACAAAAACATCTTCCTAAATATGATAATATTATGAATTTCCTGAAAATAGGAGCGAAATACTCTGGTTTCTATGATTTTTCGGTTAGGTAGTTAAAGTGTCTATTTTATTTTCGTGTGTATTATAAGCTCAGACGAGTACGTTATATATAATAATAATTATACTATAATTTATTGTACAATTAATAAAATAGATACAATGTAGTATAAACGTATACAAAAATGGAATCCTCACAAATTTGATATTATGCAATTGACTTGTTCAAATAATTAATTAACTCGTTTGCAGAAGAACGGGCATGTTTTTTTTTTTATATATAAAAATGAAAATATTATTTTATTATTTGGCGTCAATTGGAAAATATTCCTTTTGATATCTCTATCTATAAGTTATTGCGTTCAACTGCTATACACAGATATGTTGTGCCATCGTGTGCTGAACTTTTACGTCCCGTAAACAACATAACACGGATGACCGTAATAATGATATTAAATATAAATATTATATTACGAAAAAACAACAATTTCAAAGTCAAGGTACAATATTCAAAGATTGGATACGCGACGAAAATAAATCGATTTCACACGCGCCCAAGGTCAAACGGAATATATAACGTTGTATACTATTATGCTCAATATTGTGTGCAAAAATATAATAGTGTTATTGTTGGCGAAAATTAAAAAATTGATGATTAAAAGGAGAATAATTAATAATATTAATTACAATCATCTCCTCTGGAACGCAGTCGCTGCTATAGCCGGTTCAATGACGGAAAAAAAAGTTTATATTAAGTAAACGGACGTTGATCGATTTTTTCCGATCGTTAACTTCGTCGAACTTTTCTCGTAGTATTATGAAATGTACAAAAATAATGTGATAAATAAATAAACTCTGTGCGTCGGGCATAGTGCACTATATACTTGGGCCGCGTACGCAACACATCACGTCCACCACCGTAGCGATTGCACCGCTATTTGACCTGATTTTAGAATCGGATAACATTGAAAGCGCTAATTTGTTCATTGGTCATAATAATCATAATCCGCAAACACAAGTCACAACATTGTTCTAAACGCCATCGGTAAATACGTGAACATTTAGCCGCGTGTCCGTCGAGGGCACATCCTTGAATGTCCTGGAGGACGTAAAAAATGTGCAAACTCGCGACTGCACAGCACTATTATAATATATATAGGTAGAGTATCATTGTATTTATATAACCAGCGATATAATCAACGCAATTGGCTGAACATTTACACTTGAAAATAAAACGAAATTAAAGGGGACACCACCACCTGGACGCGCGAGTGTAATTTGTCGAATATTCGCTGTGCGATGATGTCCTCGGACACGTGTCGAGGACGTCGCAGCAGCAGCCGTGCTGCAGCAGGTGATCAAAAAATAAAAATGTAATCTTCAATTATAAATATATTACGCTAATTATATTATGCGTCGAAAACGGTCAACTTTCCATTTCTAAAACGATCGTCTCCGCTATGTGCAGTACCTAAATGATACTCCTACCAGCGGTCTTACCATACGTTTAGTACACCGGCTGGGCAGGTGGTAAGTAGAGGTCCGAGGTGTGCGTTTAGAAGGTACAGAAAAGAAGGAAAAAAATCACCATTACCTACAAAAAGTAACAAGTCGCCAAGGACATAATATAACACATAAAGTACTATCACTGAGACAACATATACACGATCGACGAACGCACAACGGCACTAAAAATTGCAGAAAATTCGAAAATCATTTTCTGCTTCGATATTTTCACCATACAATACGTAACATAATAGCGCACACCAACAGTATATTATATTATATAGATACGTGCTATTTAAAATCGAAAATATCGACGCAGTAAAATAACCCATTTACGACCACGTCGTGTGCAAAATAAAGAATAATAATAATATGTGTCGACAATACAATATTATTACGAGTCCATTACAGCGGCGGCGCCGTCTTAGTTTTTATTGTTGTACATTAATAGGTACACATTATTACTTCGGCGACAGTGGCGCGAGCGAGCCGAGTTGTGAAAACCAGTGAAAGCGACGTGGCTGAATATTGTACCTAACCAGGTGAATATATGTACGCAATGCGCGCGCACACAAAGGTACGCACATGGTCCGCGGACGAAACAAACCGAAACCAAGTATAATATTATATAGAATGAGTTCATAATTTGTCATAATGTTGTAGACTCGAAATTCGATCGAGGGATACGACGATAGACGGGATTCCCGGCGACGATTTATACATTGTTGTTTTGCGGTTTTCACTCGAACTGTGGTGCTGGCGGGAAATGGTATTTCCGCTAGCCGCTCTGGAAGTCGTACGATTACGTCGTAATGTCGTCATCGGGCTGCATCCATACCGTTTTAATTTTAAATTGCACGTATGTATAACCAGTAACCACGTATAAATATATGCCTGTTCGTGCACGGTATTGTCGGTATTAAATACAATCAATTGTTGCTATAACCACGTTAAATGCATGAAAAAGTGGAAACCGAAACAAATACTGATAATACCTAAGTACAAAAAGTTCTCGTTGATTCATTATACAGTGAAACGGAATGTTACTGAGAACTACGACATGCGAATTAGAACTTAAATTACGTAATTCTATAACGAATTTCTAATAAGCATTATTATTTTCGCCCACCGACGGAAGTTTCGCCGTATTGTAAATACTGCGAATGGCTGCGGAGACCGGGACAGCGACCCTTCACAAACGGACGGGCGCATTCTGCAGCAGCCCCAAAGGGGCCGACTTCTCATTATAGAACGCAATTCGAATCATTTAATCGAATAGTACACAACAAATTCTGCGCATAAAGGCCGTTGACGCGGGGTCGTTGAACAGCAGCAGCAGCAGCAGCAGCAGCGTTACAGGCAGCGGGGGCGGTGCTCCGGTCAAAGGGGTGCGCGGCACGCGGCTTTTGCGTACGTATATTACCATATATACCACAGCAGCACAACAACAATAATGTACGCTGCGAATACATAATAATACATTTTGATGTACGCGCGTGGCAATGGATCGCCGTCCCCACGGCTTCTCGTCCGTTGGCGTGGGTTTAACGATCTCCGGAGGAGGGGAGTGGGGATGGGCTCACGATAAAAAGGACTCGGCGCGCGTGGTATTGATTCACGCGGCGCGTATATGCAGCACGCGGGGCCCGTTTTTTCGCGCACCGTGTGACTCATTCCCGCCGGGGAATCGGGAACTTTTTTCCGGTGGCATGCGCCATACGCTCGAGGGGAACCGCCGCCGTGTGTATAACGATATTATTATGACGTAAAGCTGCAGCAGAGACGCGTTTTAATGAGAGAGCTATATGTCTGTGCATCGTAATAATGTGTAAAATGCTTATCGACCGGGCGCCGTCAGAGTTTTAAATTTGACGAACGCGGCAATTAAAAACGAAACCCTAGAGCTTAAGTAGGTGCATTAAGTAGGCGAGGCTACAGAGGCGTCTGGTCAGTGCAAATGGGCATCGACCAAAGGCCTCGGTGACGATGACTACGTAAAACACAAGTATTGAGCAGCAACACTGGAAAATTTAGTCATTGAAACGGTTTCCTCGTTCGGCAACCGAGGTAGCAACAGCAAACACACATCCCGCAGTTGAGTTAATGTCATAATAATAAGTACCTATACAACCCCCAACTAACTGTTTCGTGTCACCCGGAAAGGCGGAATCGGTTATGACGGAATTAATAATACCAAACTACCTATACAGTTGGGCGGCATTCGACGGAAAAGAAAAATATAGTAAAAAGCGTGACGAGCTCCGCAGGCGGCTCTCTGTTATAAAATAGCCGGCTGGGTTTCCCGTTGAAAATAAAACCGGCGTTTGTTACGGGCGGCGAGCGATTTAGAATTTTTTTGTTTTTAACACGCCTGGGCGGCGGCGGTGGAAAATCCATTACGGCCAAAATCGTGTCATTGCAAAAAAGTGAACGGGGCGGCGAGCGAGGCCCCTTCCACGTACCGCGAGCCCTCCTTCTCGCCAACGTTCGAGCACTGATGGCGCGCGGGTGCTCGTTACATTATGTATATATACGTTTCATAGTTACGTACGTTCACGTAACGTATTATATTCGAGCCGCTTTCTCCCGTTATATTACACCCGTAACTGGTTCATTGCCGACAGACGACGACAACGGGATGCTCCGGTTGGCGTTATGGTAATCATAATAAAAATAATATACACTTTTACTTTCTCCCAGTGCGTCCTAAATCGCGCGTATAACACGCCACGAGAACAGCGGGGAAGGTTGGCGAGGTATGCACGCCGAGAAAACGACGACGATATTATTGTGCCGACACGAGTAAGAGTAAAATTCTGAGTACACACGACTACGTAGGTACAGGTTAGATATACTACAATCACGGTATACGGTTGGAATATAGGAAAAAAAAATAATTATAAGCATGCTTTAGTTATCGAACGACAAAAACGCGTAGTCGAGCGTACTGCAAAATATGCGCGGCGACATAATAATAATCTCTGTCGTCGACAGACGACGGTACATGACATACAAAATACATAATAATATTTATTACATGATGATGAAGTGATATTTATACGGCACACACACGTATAAAACATATTTTACAGCGTACCCGAGAAACCGTACACTCACGAGAACTCGGAAACCCGAGAAGTGCAGTGGTTGACGATGGTGAGTGAAGCACACGTGTTTCACACACACACACACACACACACACACCCGGTGCACCGCCAGTTTTCGTTATAATATTATATATTATTAATATGGCAATAGCAGAGTGAACAACCCGACAGCACACGTACACATTACACATCCGGGCGGACGGACATGTGGCGGAATATGCGCGACAGACGTCGTTATACACGCATATTATTTTATATTTTATTATATTTTAATACATTATTATAACTTTAGGAAATGAGGACATGCACCGCTCGGTCCGAGTAGTAGTTGTATTAATACGTAATAATAATAATACGTGGACAGCGGAGCTCGACAAGAGCTCGTACCGACGACGAAACGAACAGTATTTTTACGTAAACTGACCAGACACAGCTGCAGAAAACAAATATAAATAGTGTGTATTTAAGTACGATTCAGTTTTCTAACGCAGTGTAACCATGGTTAAAAGTTGACCGGAATCAGCTGCAGCGTTGGGTGTGTAATGCTTGCCGGCTACTGAAGTGCTATGAGTGAAACGATACAAAAAATTCGATACGGAATAGTTATCAACTCGTATCGAAGTCTAGAGTCTGATATAGGTCGTAACGTTCCGCTGGTACACCGACAAACCACGCAGACGTAACTCCGTGATCGCTCAATATTGAACCGATACGTATCAATACACTCCTAATATTTTCTTCCTCGGAAATTCTGAATATTTCGCATTCGTGACGACCTATTTAATAATATTATGTATAATCCCATATAATACTTTCTAGTTCCGCGAGTATCGTGGGGCAATACGGGCAATCGGTAAACATATAATAATATTATATATGAACACATATCAACCGGGTCGATAACGATAACGATATTTACTCGTAATATGTTATTATAATAATAGAGTCGTCTCAAATATTACTAAACACACGATTTTTATCGATCGCCGCACGACGGCAAGGTGACGAGTTCGTATTTGTCACCACCTCGCGTTTTATCCGTCGAGTCACCGCGATAGGGGTAGAAGAGAGATTTTCACAAAAATTACACAATCTTAAGTTCCGCTCTGAAAACGCTCGACCATGAAACGTATTTATATTTTTTTTTCAATTTTTTGTCGAGTGAAAGTTGAGTGGAGTTTTGTTACAAACTCACGCGGTGAGAGGAGAGGTTTACTGGTGTCGAGCCGAGGACGTGGGACGCTCGCCGCCGCTTTTGTGCGTGTGTAATATTATTGTGACGACACATCGCCGAACGCCGAGCACACACACACACACACACACACACAATAAAGAGGACGAATCGGAGAAAGTCAACAAAGAGTAGGCGGTTGTGTGTGTGGATCATCGAAACAATTTATATTTTTGTAACAGCACAACGTCAAGGATTTTTTTTTAAATAAGGCACGCGGCGATTAAATAATGTTAAAAACAAAACTTATACTACTAATAAAAAAAACCCCTTCACTTTGAAAACCTATAGCTTACACCAACAGATCCATATATGGTAAACTTCGACAACTTTTTGGGCGCATTCGTATCTTTGGGAACCAATAGGCGGTCATAACGAGTGGATTATCATTAAAGATAACATAATATATTATACTATTGTTGTATGCAAGTTATAATATACCAACTACATTATAAATATTATAATAATGCATGACGACAACGGCCAACCGTTTTCGAGAGGCGTCTCGTCGCGTTAAAGGAAAGAGAAAAAAACTATTAAAAATAATATTATTATGAACATATAACAGGTGTGTGTTTGCTATGTATGCGTTGGTCGTGGTCGTAGCATATCGACATGCGTCGGTGAACAATTCTGCGTACACGCGCGCGTGGTTTTATATAATATTATACAACGTACATGCATACCACTTATTATTACTACTTATACGTACTTCGTCGATGTACATTACGATAATAACATTATTATTTTTTATGTTGTGCATAATATAATATTATTATTATTGTAGGTACGCGCGTGGAAGGGGCGGCATATTAATATTTATTTTCAGTTTTAAATAATCCGTCGACGGAAAAATAAGAACACAAAGAAAACGTTACAATAATTGGGATTATAGTATTACGGTGATAACCCGAGTTATACGACTCGTTCACACTCTGTTAGCACAGTAGAACAGTATATATCAGTATACTCGTTATCTATCAGCTGCAATGTGTACACACCAGCACACAACATATTCTGATAATAAAATTTAAATAACTAAAAGTCCTCGGAGAGAGTGTGGCCGCTCAGTGTTTATAATGCGCATACAACCCAAATCTTCGACCCGTAGAAAAATACGTATTAAAGACGTTGTGTTGTACAACAAACTCACTCATTCACTCACTCACTCCCTCTCCCTCTCTCTCTCTCGCACACCCTCTCTCTCGGCGTCTGCTGCACCGTTTCTTTGTCACCGTCGCGCGCATCTGAGTGTACGCTGCAGCGCCGCGGAAAACTCGGTCGGTTTATAAAACCCCAACGTCGTATATACAACATACAATGAGCTATACTAGTGCGGCATTGCAACGGGTAACTTTACGATCGCGAGCGCCACGCCCTAAAGTAGAACGAATATAACATAGGGTTAGGGATGGGTAGACGAGGAGCGCACAAACGCACTACAGCGGGGCCACGGGTGTTGCTATGGGGATGGTGCCACCCCAACGCAAAAGCTCCGCTTCGGCTTTATCAATATACATTGAAACTTATCTGGTCCACGCGATCTCTCCTCTACCCAATTTGCGCACACCCTGTATATACTATTATGTGGCACGCGTGCCTGCGAAAAACATGGTAGTAATCCGAAAAACTCCATAGACGCCCGGTAAGAATAAGAAAATCCGAAAACGCGTTTGCAATCAGCCTGAGTACGACGCTGCGGCGCGTGACGGCTGCGAGACATAAAAACTGCTGAGCACTGCGAATTTTTACGATCCTGTAGCAGCTGCCGACGTACAAAACCCGGACAGGCCTTCGCGGACCACCAACGGAGGTCGTCTTATGCGAGACGGCATCACGGACATCATCCGTCCGCATTAACAAAGACGACGACGACGACGACGCCGCCACTGTCTGGTCGGCGGATTTAAATGTCTTTACAATAACACTCACCCTATTAGATTCCAAAACTCTTTAACAGAATCTTTAATGCTAGCGTACGATTCTTCGTCTAAACCCAAATATACTGACCTGAAACAAAAAAAAAAAACAAAAAAACATTAGTCTCCGAAATCTCAACGCAAAACACCTGTTGACACACACTCACACACACATTGGTATGTGCGTGTACAATATTACTATGTGCGGCTTGAGATACATATTATATTTGTTGTATGAAAAAAAAACGTTATAATTGTCTCCAATTGAAGAAACGGGATCGGCAGATGGCTGACCTAATTCGAGGGTCGAGGGACAGGTGTATGCACACACACTGCACGGCAACAACGCCCCTGCTCGGAGATTTATTTTTTAACTGTCTTTGTTCGTTTTTTACACACAAATACATATTACACATATCAGCGTAAACGCATTTCTATACTGTGTATTACACACATATATTCATATATACAAATATATATATACGTATATACATTACACGCGTATATAATATATATACGTATAATTGCCGAAGGCCTTCCTGGTTCTCAAGCGCACAAGGCTGGCGCCGCCGCCGCCGTCGGTTGCAACAATAAAAACCGCTGGTCATTATTATTTCGCGAACTCAAAATCCAATATTACTTTTGTTTTTTCAAAGACACGAGTCCTACACTCAGTACTTTACCGTCGTTATGTCATCAAGGAAGAGATTACTGGAGTCATTTATATTTAAGGACGAGATTGGTACGATAACTCCTATATATATATATGTACTGCCAGTGCCAAGGTTATAGGTTTAACGCGACGTAACACGTTAATTGCGAGTATAAATCCGTTTAAAAGCCAAAAATCTCAAACCACAACGGTGTTCTCCTAATTTATAATTTATATATGTATATATATAAATAAATGTATATTTATTTTATTTCGTATTACACTTGAAATATTATTCGGAAAACGCATTTTGAGTGTACGAAGGCCATCCGGCGGTGGTAGGTATATGCACAACTTCAGCCATAACAAAATCGTGTCGATACGGAGAGTGGCGTATATAAAGAACATGTGTGTACGGAACACGAGAAGAACATGAAGATTGAAGGTACGTCACTACTATTACATAGTCGATATACGTACACTATATTATACTATTATGTATTATTATATTGCACTGTCGGTCAAACGACGAACAACGATTCTCATTTTACCGAGTTCGGAGTTCAAACGGTTCGTCGACGTGCGAACCTTCTATATTACGACACGCAGTCGGTGGCGTATAATAAGACAATGAGTTTCTCGGAGATGGGTATATAATATATAATTTATGACGTCGCCGGACATGCATTTTTTTTCCAAATCCGGAATTCATTTTTGTTTTTTCTCCGATTTTGTACGTGACCGCGAACAATATGAAATGAAACCATGGTAGTACCTACTTATAATACCTACTATAGTACCTATATTGCACTCGCGCACTCCACAGACTAAAAGCAATTTCTCGGGCCAGCATAATATGACACACTGCAGTACAAAACGTACCTACACGTTTTCCACAGAAATCTGAGCTACCATATATTATATTTATCTCAATGTGGCGCAACTTCTCTTTTTATCCTCTTCCGAGAGGTTCGCAGACTTTTGTTCGGTTTTATATATTATATACACATTATTAGAGCATATTATAATACCCACATTTTTTTTATATTTTGTACCAGCCATCACTTTGGGCACCGGGCCGGGGTCAACGTGGGGCACGAGAACGTTTACAATATAAGATAATACTATACGGAGGAAATTCTTCAGTGGTTGTACCATTTTTTTCGGGGCCCGACGACTACGACATACAACGATATTATATCTTTATTATAATGTATATAGGCGGGCATGCATACACGCACACGGCATATAGCGGAAAACGAGACAACAAAGAAACCAGGTGTGACGTCACCCGAGAACCAGCAGCAGCCTTCGGAACCGAGTCTGGCCTTGGTGCGCGACTATGATATATAGAGAGGTGCGCACCGAAGCCGGCGCACGGCGTTTTCATAGTATTATCATTATTATTATTTATTAAATATATTTTTATTATTATTATTATTATTATAATACACGCGCTATAATAAGACATGTATGATAATAATGTTATACACCTTCGTCCGTATCGCCAGTAAGTGCAGTACTGATATAAAAATACACATACAACATTATCTCCTCTACACGATTACGACACATTGTGACGACTTCGTTTTCGAGTCGTCAAAAAAATAAATAAGCGCGAGTGTAGGTACACACGTTTTTTTTATAACCCTTTCTCTGTCTTCTCGTTTTATCACACACGTCTGTGTCTTTCTGTGTAACCCCGTCGATAAGAGCTGGGCTCGGCAGTGGCCGACGCGATCGTCGACCATTTTATGGGCGACACCGTAGTATACCATTCCACGAGAATACACACAATATTTGTATATTAGGCTTACACCGTCGCCGTTGAATTGGAAACGTACGCGATTTCGAAACGTCTCACTGTCGACGCGAACAAAATAAACACAATATAACTTAATTTAAAGACGTCGTTTACTCGTTGCCGTACAGTTATCATGTTGCGAGATAAGTTCCAATAGAGAAACGTTTCGAGTATTGTAAAAAAAAAACATTACGCAAAACCTCGCGCAAAACGATGCGTACGCCCTAAACACATAATCTTACAGTGGAAGTGGACCCCCCGTTATTATTCTAGAAATCACGAAAATCACACAAACTCGAGGAGTTTTTATAATTTATTTTTTCACCGAGCACGATTTTATATTATGTACTCGTCGTTTCAGGAAACATGATCGACACGATTTTGTAAGCGGGGTTGTGGGCGTCATATGAAAGGCGGACGGAGAGGAAATACACAACAAACACAAAGTCACACACAGACCGACGGACTTAATATCACACGCAGAGATGGCAAAGGGTGGGCGGCGGAGGGAGAGCCGAGGTGGGGCACAGCAGTAGTTTCATAAGCTATCGAGCATAGGTATATTAATACACGCAGACTGCAGCTATATAACCACCGCCGGACAAGGCCGCCCACGACCAAGGTCACTTCCTTTTCGCGTTGGTATATTTGCTTCGTTGCCGTTGCCGCTGCCACCGCCACCACAGCGGCTGTGTCGTTACACGCGGCCGCGTTTTCCCGTCCGTCGCGCGGCGGCTTTCCCGGGCATACGGCATGTCGCAATCGATTGCGTAAAAACAATAATAATAATGGCTAATATATAAGAAAAAACCTCAGTCGTACCATATCACAGACACTGCCTGCCTGATCCGACCGCCACTTCGGGCCCGACACCATGTATACGCGGTACACAACAGTGTAAAGAGTACATATAATAATACCCTTGACTTAGTTGTACCCGGGCGCCACCGGTTGTCACGCGCATTTCCTAACTAGGACACACACATACACATTTCCCATGTTACGCGACGCTGTGTAGTTAGGGTTTCCATTTGAGGTCTCAAATAATAATGATATAGTACACACACTTCTCCACTGATTGGAGAAACTCGTCATTCAAGTGGAAAATTTAGAAAAAAACATACTTTTTGAGACCGCGTATTGCGTGTTAAGCAAACATTGAGAAAAATGTCAAGGAAATTAAGACACACATACGACGAGGCACATTTTTACTAGTAATAAGTACTTGACGTTTTTCATTTTATCCCTATTTTAGATACACGTGATATTTAAATCGGAATGCTGTAGAGCTACTACCATACAATTCGACATTAATATACGTTACAATATTATATACTTACGGAGGGAACAATGTGGACATTTGGGCTCTTACAGTATGGTAATCGCGGTTCATGATAAATATTTTTATAAGTAAGTAAGTACAAAATTAACTAACTTAACGTTCACTAAAATCAGAGCACCAAAGCGAATAGGAAAATACTATAAAAATAACAGAGTAAATATTAAATAAAAAAGTTAACGAGCCGAGAACGCACCGAAAACTACACTGAGAGCGGCAAGACAGTTTAGGAAGACGCGACGGCAGACGACTAACCGCCCTTGACACAGACGGTGGGAACCAAAGCCAAATAGAAGGAATCTTCTTCCATTGTTGTCGTTCTCTCTCTCTCCATTTCTACGTCTATAGCAACCGGTATTCCCGCACGGGGAACCCTTTCTCGCACGGGGTCCGTAACCGTCGGAGGGATATGATAATGTCGTCCTAATGGTGTCATCGCACCTCCTTTTCAACCGGTCCCGCCGCCGAGGGGTTTCCAAAGCAGCGTCGGGTTCGAGGCACCGGTTGCTAGGCCGTCCCGTACATTTGGCCATCACTGCTCGCATAATAATTGTCCCGCATGAGGGATCCCGTTGTATAAACGGGACCGTGTGTACCTGGGGGCCAAAGACAATTCTCTACCACCCTATATATTATTATGTTCTTAAGGTGTGAATCGTCCGATATACATACAGGAGAACAGCTGATCGTAAAATACATAACGGAGAAGGGTAACCAATTAAAGAGAACCGCCGCGGTCTTCAGCACAAACGGCAGCAGTCGAGTTCCATTTTAGGCTTCTTTCATTTTTTTTCCAAAACCTCAAATTATATTTAGACGGAAATAAATAAATTATGATACAATATATTCATATAAATACGGTGGGACGACCGAAGAGGACAGCATTTTCTTCGTATAAGATCAAGTGGACGGTGATCTGCAGCATGCTGCGCTGTGTTCGCGTAAACCGTAACGATGAGAGGGGGGTCGTCCCGGGATTCTAAAAGGGCATTTATAAAATAACGATGACTGGGAGAAGGGAAGAAACTCGTGAATATTCCCAGGACGCTAGTAACTACCAGCTGCTTGTTCCGTACAGCTGTGCGTTGCTATTTTGCATACTTTGAAAGAAAAAATAATATCCCCGTGTTTGCGTACATAAGCCATACTGCACGACTTTGCAATCGAGCACAGGCTCGTAAATTCGTGAATAAAAAAAGGAACAAAAAAAACGTTCTTTAATTTTTATCGAGAAATTAGCATTACATAGAAAGCGAGTGTGTAAAAATTGTTTAATGTACCCAGCCATAACGGTTGATATGAACCAATTCTGGTTTTAGACGCGTAATTTTCGGAGTTGGCAGCAAGTTGGACCAAAATGTTTCTTAGGCCCAATATAAATGGTTAAATGAATATACAAATATTATACTCAACTGCGCACATCGGAGAGTTTTTCATTTGGTAATACATATTTTTGTACATTAATACTGAAAACATGTGAATAGATGATATTACATCTTGGTTTGAATATTTTCTGATAAAATCATATCAGGGGGCCATTAGTTTCTTATAGAGGCAATTAATTTGGTATTATTTTTGAGATAAGTTTCGTTTAATACCCAATAATGCCTTGACCCGCATAATGACTTCTTTATTGATCCAACGATGTCATTACAAAAATACATATGAACATTTGTGAATAATTATTATTATTGGATACAGCCAGAAGCTAGTCGACCTTGTTCGTAAATGTCAAACACACGCATATAAACAATCGACGAGAAGCTAAGACAGCGCTGCTACATCTAGCCGTCGGTCATAATATTTATTTATCTATCTATCTATCTATCTATGTATCTATCCATCCATCTCAATTTTCGACGCCAAATCATTCCGGTTAAGACCGACAGTATTAAAAAAAATGGGAATCTCTTTGGAACGGAACAAATTATTTGAAAAATGTAGAAGAAAAAAACATAATTCCAAATAGATAACTATAGTATATAGACGATTCGGAATACAAAATACAAAAAATAAATAGCCACCGTTAATTTTTTTTCGCTATTATTCTTAATCGTGTGACAATTCGACCGAAAACTCTGAACATGATTTCACTTTCCACCCGAAACCACGCAGCAATTTCTAACGGTGCTCGGCGCTAGAAGATTGAGAAAATTAATAAAAAAAATATTAACGCACATATTATAAATAACACTACCTACTACTACCTATATACACACACCACAGAAATATTACTACACAACGCTATTTGGGAAATTAGGCCAAGGCGGATTCGAAGGTATTCGCGCGGCGCCGCCGCGTTCGACGTCTCACATAATATATAATAATGTACGAGTGAAATACGACGAATTCCAATAAATAAATCTCGGATACACCGTCTCGTGTCGGGACAGCAGACGTGTATACATTTTATTTTCTCGCACAACAGGTACTCCTCACTCACTCACCACCACACATTCGGACGGCGGCGCGACAACGCGACGACGTGCAGCAGTGAGGGTGGAGGTGTTATTCACAAAACTTTTGTATTGTTGTTGGGTATTATTATGTACGTGTACGGTGGGTGTCTCTCGTCGGATCCGTCGGGGAAAAAAAACTATAATAATAAAAACCACCTGGCGATACCTGCGCTCACACACACTCACACTGATAGTCCCACACCTCCTCGCGCCGCCCGCTCGCCCTACACAGCAGCCGCCGCCGTCGCCGACGGACCGGGCGGTGTCGACGACGACCCAGGTGTGTGTGCGTGTGTGTATAGCGGACACACAAAAGGTAACAGAGAGACGGACGGACAGAGTGAACGGGAGAGAAGAAAAAACTCGTAGTGAAAGGGGGCTGTTGCTGCTGCTGCCGGTTAGGCATCGGTTGTAGGTGGACGAAATAAACACAACTAGCAGAGTCACAACCACAACTAAATAATTTGTGTACCGTACAAAGAGACAGATGGTACGAGTGAAAAGTCGTCACATCTGTATTATAGATATTAGATATTATATTGTATAATATGTGATAAGCGTGTACTCGCTTGACCACGATAACAGAATAGATAACAAAATTGAAAATAGTGTGCGACTTAAGTTATCGGATTGTCAACGTTTCCTTGTAAGATTTATTCGGTCCCTCTCCCACCCGAATTGAGTCCCCGACAACCTCGTGATCGGATGTTGGAGGGCTCAAGGATTATACAATCATAATACGATCCGATACGAAATTTTATTCTCACATGATGGTGAACACGAGGACGACGGCGGCGGCAGCACGGGTTCGGAGTTAAAACAACCGAAGCACCGGCGATTTACTGGTGTAGACGTCGTGTCCGGAGATACGTAATAAACAAAGAACGACCGCACACAGATGGCCGGCGCACGGACCGGCAACGTCGCCTTCTGGGGTATACTCTATACCGCAGTAACTCGAATCACTCGTTCTTTCTCTCTCCCTCTCTCATACACTTACAGAATTCACTCACTCACCGCTCACGGCTTTTTACGTGCGTGTCGAGACCGTATACATTGGCTGCGGCAACGACCGCATCCGTCGTTTGTGTAATATAATATAATGTTATAAAGGTATAATATAAACCAAACGATTCTCGAAACCGTAGCGCACACAAGCATACATCGCATTTTGAGAACCCGCCGCCGAGACATGGCAAGACGACGGTTTCTTTCTCCGCCGAGAAGGGTCGGGGCCGCGCCGACGTCGGAGAGGGTTCTCTAGTCGCGGGAATTTGCAGGGGTGCGCGCCGCCACTGTCATGTCCCTTTTTCCCATTGCTCCCCATATATATATATATTATATTCTTACTGCACGAGGGATGCGGCGTTAACGACATTTTTTCGAGTGCGCTCCGAAAGTCATGGACTGCATGTATACATCATATGATTATACCGTACGCGCGAGCACAATGCATCATCTGCAAACGGCAAACATGTTATAATGCGTCAACCGACCGGTCGGCCGTTCACGGCGTCGGATCTGTGCGTTGATAAAAACCGTCGAACACACACATTCCCCGTCGTGACGAACCGAACCGACGAACACGGCGCGCGTACAATAACATTTCGTCAGATGACGATTGTCAACGATAAAACGCCGATGTCCTGATTCTTTAAAGAAAAAAGCAACGAATCGGGTACATTACACGGAGTTTTCGTGAACACCGCACATGGTTCTCGTCATATTATTGTTCCGTTCTAATCCATAGATTTCATCTGCCCCGAGTCCTTTTATTTACGAAAAAAAAAACCATCCCGTAGAGTACAGTGTAATATAACGAGTAAAAAAAGGAATATTCCACCGTTCTGTGACTTTTTGGCCGTCTACGCCGAAACACGCACCGCAGTCGTTTTGTAAAACATTCCGGTCAGCCGAGCCCGTAAAACAAAATTTGTTACGGGTCAATAATATTGTTAAAAACACGAACGCGATATTACACACATTTTTTTTACGCTTTGTTCTGTGGGCGTGAGCGTAGCCTATTTTTGGCGCTTTTTTTCGAGAGAGGAAAAACAAACACGGCCAAAAGTACCTACGCGCGCAATGCAAACACATTGTAGTTGCGTAGCACATATTATACGCTAGTACCTATAACAACATACGTTCGCCTAACGCTGGCAAGCACTACACATACACACACAACAGCAGTGCGCATTTAAGTGCATTTTACATTGTACACAGCGCCCGGAACGCATTTATCACGTCATATACATAATACAAAACTACGAGGGGAGCTTTTTTTTATTTTATTTTTTTAATACGCATTGTGAGCTGTCTATATACCCGCACCACTACTACCACCACTACCATTACCACTACCCGCACACCCTTTTATGTGCACGTACACGCACACACATACACACTTCACCACCACCGCCACTACCCCTCGGCGACGTACCTCGACTCTACTACCACTTCCTCCTCGCCAACGAGCATTGCGCAACCGAACCGTTACAACAAAAGGGGGATGGCCGTTTCGCGTATAATTATACGCGGTGACGGTGGCGGAGGAGGTCAACGTCCCTGCGGCTCGTGCTGACCACCGGGCCCCGGTCCGACGTAATTATTTCAGGCGACCGCCGCCGTTGTTGTTGTGTACTGCGGCGGTGGCGTCGACGACGAAGGGGCGGAAGCGAAAAAAACTTTCACTGGTTACAATTTTAGTATGATTTTCTTTGTGCTTTGGTAAAAAAAAAAACACGCACATACACACACTGCTCGCAGCACACGTTAGCGCAGCAGCAGCTGTTGTTGTGTAACGTCGTTGCGCCAACTCCCCTCCCTTCCCCTACATTAACCGCCTTTTCCCCACCGCTAAATCGGACCGAAATAAAGCCCTCGGTCTTCGCGGCCGAGTCGGAAAGAAATAATAATAATGATAAAAAAAACTCAAAACAGAAAAAGAGAACGGCGACCGAGCGTACGTACAGTATAATACAACATCAGATACCATGGTGGCGGGCTGGGGATATGGGTTCAAGGGCAACCGAAGCGGTTTTTTCAAGACCGGTTCAATAAACGATGGCGTCCGCTGTTGCCGTGCATCAAGTTCTACGCTGGCATATACATGTAGGTAGGTTGGTAGATTTGTTGGTTGGTTGGTTGGTTGGTTGGTAGGTAGGTAGATAGATAGGTAGGCAGGCAGGTAGGTGGATAGATAGGCGGATAAGAAGGTAGGGACGAGGGCGGCGGCCGCGGTGTTGGGTCTTCGCGAAAGGGTATAACAACGAGAACACAAAGTAAATGGTTATCACGGGATATAATATTCCAATGGTAAGTAGAACGACGTATGATATACGACACGAATACACGATACGACAGTGTGCGCATATTCTATTATTATCACTATCATTATTATTATTATAATTTTTTTTTTTTTTTTTTGATAATAGTTATTATAGATCACTTTTATGATTGGTCTACGGCGAGGACGTGCGACAAGAGTATTACAACATTTTTATTATTGTTGTTGTTGTTGCTGCTTTTAACTACTACGTTATCGACGACGATTAACCGAGGTCTAAAACTATTATCAGGCCAAAATTCTACGCGTGGCGACAGATAAAAATGTTTTTTATTCGATTAGGAGGTATTTACCTAGTTTCCATATTGTTGCCGGCGACGGCCGTGTTGTACAGGTGGTGCTGGTGTTGGTGATGTATTCGGCGGTGATGCCTGAGGTGATTGGCGGCGGCAACGAACGTGGGCGGTAATACGATCGGTCGGAAGCACGGCGGCCCAAGCACATACGGCACCAGTAGCACGACGGCGGAGGTGGTGGCGGCGACTACGGCACCGTCACACCGGCAAAATCTACCGAAATTACGCGTCGGGGGCGGCGGCGGCGAACACGCGTCGAAACGACTCAACGCACTGCTGATACCAACGCTGCTATTAACACGTCCGGTGGTCGGGACACCGCCGACGACGAATAGCCGACCGCCGCAATAACAGCAAAAACAACACGTCGGGCTATCCACTACAGGCAACCAGAAGAGCGTCGTCGTCGTCGTGATATTGTTACCGGCAGCAGCAATAGAAACGGCGGCGGTTGAAGGCGATTTTTTAGTCGTCGTCGTCGTGTTCGTTGCTGCTATACAGTGGCGAGTCGGCAAAACCACTGCTGGCATGACAAACCGCGCGCTCAACACGAACTGGCTGTCCTCCGGAATCGCGGTGAGCGCCCGTCGTCGATCCGCACGCACACGCGCCCGGCGGCGTAACCGTACACTATCGATTTTTTCCCCACCGATCCTCGTTTCACCCCTCCCAAGCCGAAAACTACGAAGCGGTCGTCGCTATCGCTACAACGCGGCTCTTTACGACCGGCTTTGTACGCCCTCCCCAGCCGACGACCGCTATCGCCGCCGCCGAAGCGCTGCTGCACACATTTCGTGGAGCCACACGAGGACAATCGGCAACGATCATCGTCTACGCCGACCCACCGATACGGTACTATCGCCATCGATAGTGAGTTCCGCCGGCGATTGTTTTGTGTGGTGTGCGCGCCGAAAGAGCCGTTCGCACACGCACGCACATGAGTGACGACGGCCGTCGAGGCGGCGCGAGGTGGGTTGCATGCACGAGGAGTGTGCCAACAGCTGCGCGCACAACGCCCCGCTCCATTGTGACGCCCTTGAATCGCCGCAACCGCGCGCCGTGCTTGACGCGGCTCGGCAGGAGAGAAAACTATGAACTAGCGAGCGAGGGGGACTTTTTTTCAAAATAAGTTTTCTCTTTACACGGTGGCCGGTGGATTTCCTTTAAACGATTTTATAGTTTATAATTGTTCTTCTTGATTCCTCTTGGTCGAGAGCGAAATATTTTAATATTATATCATGTCTGTCGAATAATAATAACGACGCACTATGTACACGGTTATAGTAGGTACTTCTCAGTTGCACTTTCAGATTGTTGTGATTGTACACACACTTATCGTCTTACTAATTCGTGGACGGTACGACTTGAACGTTTAAAAAAGATATACATTTTTTGAATAAGTATTATTATCGCGCTGCTGCAATACGGACACACGCGCAATAACAATTACTATAACGATGAATTTTACAAAAGTATGCATTAAGTGCCACGGGAGTGTGCATAACGCTACGCCTGTGTTTTATTGTCATGCCATAAAATATCATAATATATTATCACGTCATAATAAATTATTCAAAACCAATACTGACATCGTTTGTATGTGGGTATTTGTGAATAATATATTTTACTTTCGACAAAGGTTGTCGAATAGACAAGGAAACGTGTACTATATTACATTAAAATATAATAGGTAAAGTAACGTTTATTAAATGTATTTCCTCGTTAGTTTCGAGCCATGTCATCAGAAGTTTCTTGATACTCGAGCATAGTAATAGGCAATAACGTCGACAAATGTTAATTTCTATTAGAACTCATCATAGTGTATAGAAATATATAATACACTATCAAAATCAACTAAAAATAATGTGTTACCTAAAGATGATTTCCGTAGTTGCGCGATTAACGAATTGAACTGGAAGTGTATAATATATTAACGAAATAATACAATTTATCATAGAAAGTACGGTACAAACAAGTTACTGGGAAAGAGGAGAACGAGAGGAGAGTCAGTGCATTTTAATCGGATTATTAAGTTTTCGAGCAAACGACCTCGAACGTACTCGCGTCTCATTGTCTTCGGGAAAACCGTCGACACCTACCTGGAGTGAATTTAAAAATACCACAGTGTTTTATTATAAGTTAACGAGGGCCACTGTAACCATACCATATCATTCGGTTAGATAGAACTCGGAGGGCGAAAATCGGAGAGACCGGCGTCGCGCCACGATTGATAGGGAAAACCGTCTATCGGCTGTTCCGCGTAGATACGAACGTCCCGCGTGGTACTCGTGTTTCAGGAAAACGTAATAAACAAATGGCGCGGCGGCCGGGCGACCACGCAACAACAAGCAGGCGATATTATTTACGCGTGCCGCGTGCGTACGATAATAAAACAAGTTATCTTTTTTTGCATAAAGTAATACGTTGTCAGATGTTGTTACGAGAGAGAGAGAGAGAAACGATTGGGAAATTATAATTAATATAATAATTGATTCCCACAGCCGAGAACGGCGTCGTACGCTCGAGATAATTCCCTGTGTTATGTGTATCACGGCGACGGCAATATTGTCGCGTTCAGCACAATAATAACACATTGCTACATTTTATAAGCGCTCATAATAAGTCATAGCGTTCGTTAAACGCCTAATAATAAGCATTATTAATACGTAATTCGTACGGCTCGACTTGACGTCTTCGTACCGCTTCGATCATTATTACACTGCGATTATAATATAATATTTTTGGCCACCGTGAGCATGGTCCGGAGGAAAGGGTGACCGCTGACGATTGTGGTAAAGAGTTGATACAGTACGCGCGACTACTGCCAAACACGACGATTAATATTTTTAATAATACCTGATAATACATAGTATACAACCAGACGGATAATGAATAATACAATATTTTATTATGTCATAAAAATATTTCGCGTTTAGTACACGCACGCGTGTGTCCGTTTCACAATACACAAAGGAAGTTCGTTTGTTTTTGCGGAACAATCTATGGGGCTCTTTACTTATGAATTATAATAACTTATAATACAATATATTTTATGATAGCAAAAATACACCGTCACAATAACATTGAAATTCCAAATAATATTTTTCTGCATAACTACTGTGACAACATACCATGGTAATAATTGTTCATTACCTAGGTATCTGCGAAAATATACGAATCGATTAACGAAAACCATTTACGGGCCAACAATAGAAATAGAAATCGAGCGTAGGTTAGGTACCACTCGCGTCGTCGTCGGTGTAGTAGACCGTAGTTGTGGCGTCGAGCGTATTTTTAACGTGCCTTTCCCGCCGCCAAAACCGTTTTCTTTTTTTTAATTTTCACTCGACAATCGTCGCGTTTATTTTTCATAATAATAATACGTGTTCAATGCATTCTATACTGTATTCGGTGGTAAATAGTAGAACTAAGTAAACACGTTTTATTATAAAACCCCAACAAATTTAATAATTGATTATTAGTCCATAATATTAATATTAATTAACAATAAAAAGCGGTCACAAATAGGTGGTAAGTATTTTTGTTTTATAACGTATTATTCGCTCATCGGAACCAGGTCTCAGAACTATCGTACTATAATAAACAGTGTTGATTAGTCGATATACAAAGCCAAGCTGTCACTATTAATTATTATATTAATACTATGGTCAGATATACACTTGAGGTTTTTACGGTATATTATTATGCTCGTCTTTTACATAATTTAGCAATAATCCTTTATTTTTTCCTGTTTATTCCGACTTTTCCCCCCTAATATACTATTATCTCGTATTCGTTCCTCGGTTCACAGGGAGCGGCTTCGGTAAAAACGTGCAAGGTTTCAACATTGAGTTTTCGGAAATCCAGTTGCCGCGAGTATAATATTCAATGCGGGACACAGCCGCCGCCACCTCGAAAACGCCGAGCCAAGAATTCCCATACATGGCCGGGACCGTCTCTGTGGTAATGGCGTTACTTCGTAGTTGTCGTCGTCCTCTATACGGCGGAACACCCGGCCACCGCCGCCCGCGTAGTTTTCGTCATCACAGAGCGACGACCGACCAACCGGCGCGCGCGCGCGCGCGGTATCTCGACGGAGGACGTGCCGCGCGAGAAAAATGCCAACTGGCACTGATGGTATTTTTTTTTCTGGCCGCCGCACCACCGCCCGCAAACGGCGACGGCAATGGCTGTGCGGGTGTCTCAGTTTTTGTTCGCGATTTCTTCTAGAAAACCTCCTTCCACCGCCTCGCATATCCACCCTCCCGCGATCCGTCGTCCACCCACGCCGCAGGTGCAGTCGACTTCACGTGGCAGTGATGGAGCGAGCGAGCGACCGAGATATGATAACGGAGGCCGACGATATTATATTATTATATATATGAATCGCGATGCCAAAAACCCCCGAGAGACAACAGCTGAACAGCGACTGACGATCGCGAGATCATTTTTGGCAGACGTCCCAAAAAATATATACGAAAAAAACATAAACTCTGCGGTGAGGCAGACGACCAGCTTTGCCGCCGCAGACTTTCGGTAGGGGGAGGGGGCGCGAACGCGTGCGATCGTCATACGTTGGGTCTGATGTTCTTTTGCCGAAGTGGCTTGAATCGATAAGGACGAAAATGCGAATAAGCGTACTCAAATTAAATATACTTATACACTTAAGGGAATTTTTTTTTTTATATTAATGATATTCTCGGCAACATGGGCCATTGGGCTTACAGTGCAAAAGTTATAAATTACAGAAATTACAGAAATTGTATACATATATATATAAGTTACATTAAATGTTGGAAATAAGATTGGCGGCTGTGATGAATTGCATGATGTTGGTAATGGATTGAGGGTGATTGCATAGTTTCTGATAGTGATTCGGGTAGGTTGTGGCTTGTTCGGGTACTGTCGTAGTTTCTTCATTCGGTTATTATGTGTTTGATGGTGACTTGAACACCGCATGTTGTGCACATTGGTGGTTCTTCTTTGGACATTAGGAAACGTGAGATATTTTTATGTGTCCAATTCTTAGTCTGGTTAATATAACTTCGAATTTTCTGTGAATTTCTAAGGGAAATGTCCAATTATCGGTGTTGTGTTCTATATGGTTTAGTTTCGTATAATAAGATGTCCAACCTTTGATGCCATCTTTGTTGACATTTCTTTGTTATGACTTATGAGCATTTGTATATCACTGGAGGAAATGATTTGTGTGGGTGAAGATAGTGAAGATGTGATAGCATTTTTGGCTGCGAGGTCAGCTAGCATTTAAGGGAATTATACGAACATGTAATATAATAAAATATTAACGAAAAACATTTAGCGTATTTACAAATAACACAATATAATAACATTATATAATATTAATGGGCTTACTCTGATATTGACTACATAATACATAATATTCTACATGATTATTATTATATGGCGGGAAATCAGTACTGGGATGGCAAATAAATTATAATTATTCCTAGTAGGTACCTACTGTTAAGATTTACTTCCACATTCCCCGCTATTAATACGTATTGTTACTGTAGAATGTAGGCTCTGTAGATCTGACTTATGTAATATGA